CAAGTATTCTTTTTATTCTATTTTGCCTAAGAAGTGAAGTGAAGGGAAAAAAGTTTTTTTTAAAATGGCGATTGCTGCTGCGGCTTGAAGAGAGGCTGAAAGGGAAACTCCTTCCGTTTTTAATTACAAAGTAGCGGAATGAATACTTTTGGCTGTAACTGAAGGCAAAATCTCACTCTCATTTTGGTTTTTTTTTCTTTTTTCTTTCTCTTTGAGGATCTGATATTGATCTTGGTTGGAAAAAAGTTTTTTTTTCTTTCTTTTCCAGTAAATTTTGTCTGCGTGGAAAAATGGCACTGAGACTTATAAAACTAGACAAACAGGCAGTGGGGGGGGGATTCCCCCATTAATAAATTACATCAACAAGTTTTAACTCTCCAGTCACAGAAACCTGACTTTAATATAATAGAATTTCTTCTTGAGGAGATTGTAAGAAGGGATGAGATTGTGAATCAGCAACTTGAAAAATTTAAGTTGGAAATCAAAGAAATTGGTGAATTGGTGAAATCTAAGTTTGGCTTTCTGGATCGAAAGATTTTAAAAGTAGCTAATGGCTTAGCAGACTTTATGACTCAGTTGGAAGCAAATACTAACTCTAAAATGAAAGAAACTGAGGAGAATTTGGATGACAAGATCCAAAAAATTAAAAAGGATTTGGCAAACATTCAGGATAATAGTTCAGAAGACAAACTTAAAATGGAGGCTGATCAAGGCTGTTATTGAAGAAAATGTACAACAGAGGATTGAAAGAGAAGTTTTAATGATCCAATACAATTTTACAGAATATGCAATTAGACTGAGAGGTTTGCAGGAAGATGACAGAGATGATTTAAGGAAGATATCTTCTGAAATTCTGGCTGGGATTTTAAAGGTTCAACCTGATGAAGTGTTTTGCAGGATTGACAGAATTTATAGAATAAACTCCTGGTTGGCAAAACAAAGGCAATTGCCTAGAGATGTGGTGATTTATTTTACAGACAAAGAAATTAGAAATAATATTGTCCAGAATTCTTATGATTCTGCTTTGCAATTTCGTGGAAGAAAGATTTGGATTTTTAAGGAACTCCCGCCCAAGATGTTAATGGAGAGGAAGAAATTTGGTTTTCTAGTGAATGAGTTAAAAAAAAGGAATATTCTATTTAGGTGGGACGTCCCAGTTGGTTTAATATTGAGACACCAAGGAGTAAGATACCAACTGGATACTGTCGAAAAAGCGGAAGAATTTTATCAAAAAATTTTAAAAATAAATTTAACATCTTTAGGCATAACACAGGACAAGCAAAAGGAGTTGGAAATAAAGGGAAAACATCAAATTACAGAGGCTGTGGTAGATAAACTGTCTTTGGACTCCTTGGATACCCCAGCTGGACTGTCTATAAATTTGAGAGCAGTGTCATCTGATTCTAATGTGATTAACTATCAACTTACAAACAAGTGCGTAAATCAACCAGTTGATATACAAGTGAAGGAAAAGACATATGGGATAATAAAACAAAACCAACAAGATCAATTTACAAAGCAGAATGACAACCGATCAGCTGATACACAACTTGTAGGAAGGAAATCTGGATGGAAATGCAACCCGCAAAAGAAAAAGAAAAGAAACAGATTTCGTAGAAATAGTAGTTTCTAAATCAAGCAACAGTGAAGCCAGGGATTTTAAAAAAATAAATGAACATGTGAAAAGATATTGGAGGCGAATTATCGTTTAATACTATCTTGAGGAAAGTGGCAGATCTCTGCAATGCCGTGATTTTGGGATGTGGAAAGAGCCTTACATTGTTGGATTTGAACTATCTATTTTGGATTTCTTTTACCGATAAATATATTATATCTATTTTGAGTTACAAGGCAAGAGAGTCATGCTGGGGCATGCAGAAGATCTGGCTGTTACCCACAAAGATGATGGGGATTTATAATCCTGATGAAAACCACAATTACAACTATATGGAATATAATTATAATGTCACTCGGGTGGTTGTTTTTATTTTTATATATACATGAGGATATTTATTATTGATGGGGGCAGAAGATGACTGAAGATTTTGAATAAACTGTTGCACCAGGATGCTATGTTACCCTATTATGGATGATGGATTTAACAATCTAGTGGAAAGACATCAAAGAAGATACTAAATGAATTATAAATTTAAAGTTATTGTCTTTTTTTATAAAATGGAATGTATATATAGACATATGTATATTTTAGTAGAGTGGGCAGTGGATTATATTTAGAATTGTAGTGTATGGTAATCTTGCAGGAAACTGGGTTGAAATAGGCTAGTTTAGTGATTGATTAGTTTAAGAAAAAGGATTTTTAAGACATATATTTTGGGGAGTGGAAGAATCGGATAGAACTGAACAAATGTTAAATTTGGAGAAGGCTGCTTTGAAATGTTAAATTAATATATATAATATATATAAAAGTAAAGGTTATGTTGTTGTAATAATAATAATATTTTACAAGTTTGGGGGAGGAGAAAAAGGGTAGATTGTGAAAAGCGGAGAAAAGCGGAGTTATAAGAATACTTTGCTAAGGGTCAGTACTTTGAGGAGTGAGTAAGGGCATGGTAAAATATTATGTAATTAATTATGAATTAGCTTATTGTTGTGAAGAAGAAGTCACAGGGGGGGATGGGTGGTGAGGGGGGGTTAGGGAAGAAGGGAGGAAAAGGGGGAAAAACTTGTATTTGAAAAACTTTTTCAATAAAAAAAAAAGTTCATCTCAATATTTTGTTATATATCCTTTGTTGGCAATGACAGCGGTCAAACGTTTTCTGTAAGTCTTCACAAGGTTGGCAGACACTGTTGCTGGTATGTTGGCCCATTCCTCCATGCAGATCTCCTCTAGAGCAGTGATGTTTTGGGGCTGTCGCTGGGCAACACGGACTTTCAACTCCCTCCAAAGGTTTTCTATGGGGTTGAGATCTGGAGACTGGCTAGGCCACTCCAGGACCTTGAAATGCTTCTTACGAAGCCACTCCTTCGTTGCCCGGGCAGTGTGTTTGGGATCATTGTCATGAAAGACCCAGCCACGTTTCATCTTCAATGCCCTTGCTGATGGAAGGAGGTTTGCACTCAAAATCTCATGATACATGGCCCCATTCATTCTTTCCTGTACACGGATCAGTCGTCCTGGTCCCTTTGCAGAGAAACAGCCCCAAAGCATGATGTTGCCACCCCCATGCTTCACAGTAGGTATGGTGTTCTTTGGATGCAACTCAGCATTCTCTCTCCTCCAAACACGAGTTGTGTTTCTACCAAACAGTTCTACTTTGGTTTCATCTGACCATATGACATTCCCCCAATCCTCTTCTGGATCATCCAAATGCTCTCTAGCAAACTTCAGATGGGCCCGGACATGTACTGGCTTAAGCAGGGGGACACGTCTGGCACTGCAGGATCTGAGTTCCTGGCAGCGTAGTGTATTACTGATGGTAGCATTTGTTACGTTGGTCCCAGCTCTCTGCAGGTCATTCACTAGGTCCCCCCGTGTGGGTCTGGGATTTTTGCTCACCATTCTTGTGATCATTTTGACCCCACGGGGTGAGATCTTGTGTGGAGCCCCAGATCGAGGGAGATTATCAGTGGTCTTGTATGTCTTCCATTTTCTAATTATTGCTCCCACAGTTGATTTCTTCACACCAAGCTGCTTGCCTATTGCAGATTCAGTCTTCCCAGCCTGGTGCAGGTCTACAATTTTGTTTCTGGTGTCCTTCGACAGCTCTTTGGTCTTCACCATAGTGGAGTTTGGAGTGTGACTGTTTGAGGTTGTGGACAGGTGTCTTTTATACTGATAACAAGTTCAAACAGGTGCCATTAATACAGGTAATGAGTGGAGGACAGAGGAGCCTCTTAAAGAAGTTGTTACAGGTCTGTGAGAGCCAGAAATCTTGCTTGTTTGTAGGTGACCAAATACTTATTTTCCACCATAATTTGCAAATAAATTCTTTCCAAATCAGACAATATGATTGTCTGGATTTGTTTTCTCATTTTGTCTCTCATAGTTGAGGTCTATCTATGATGTCAATTACAGGCCTCTCTCATCTTTTTAAGTGGGAGAACTTGCAGAATTGGTGGCTGACTAAATACTTTTTTGCCCCACTGTACATGAAATCTCACTGCACTATACATTTATTAAGACAGTATAATTCAGGCAAAGTAGGTTCTTTCCCTTTAATCTGGTTACTTGGCTGCAGGATCTTTTGAGAAAAATGGATTGTGCCTGCAAATAACTCCTGAAAAATTCAACTACTTCTTCAAATGGATTTTTATAGTCATGTTGTTGTCATTTTGAAGCCTAAAAATGGTTGATCTGCTGAATCAAGTAACAAAAAAACAGCGTTTTTTTAAACAGTCAAATATATATTTTGACCAAGTAAATGAAAACTCTGTATCTGCTACAACTACACTATACCTAAAGGTGAAGATGGAGTATGACTAGCAAAAATTGCACAATTATCTTGCTCAGAGCTAAATTATGCTGATTCACATGCAAAACACTTTGCTTCAGTTTATAAACTTCACTTGGAAACCTGGTAGAAGAGTTGCTGAAACATATTGTGCGATCAGTCTTTACGGATATGTGAATACAACTATGTATTAAATCAAGTCATCCACTCAAGTCAAATAAGATGGAATCTGTTTCCCAGGGTTTTAAATTTCTGTTAGCAGAATTCACAGAATTCTCGCAGAATATGCAGAAATCCATAGTGATGCTGCAAGGTAAATTACAACATTCCCAATTATCAGTAATCTTATGAAATCATTAAGGCATTGCTAGTCCCATGCTGGACCCTTAGTTGAAGGGTTTTCCTGTCCCCCCATTCCATTTTTAAAACTACATATTTCAATATATAGACAACCCAATGAAAATTCACAACTTCTTGATAACTTTCATTTGCTAGGAAATGTAGAAAGTGTTGCTAACTAGAAAGATATTACAAATAATCAGAATCTGAGCTATCTTATGCTATCTCCAGTGTTATAACACACAGCAGTGACTTTAAGATATTTTATTATAGATCGAGGTAGCTTAAGACTACCTCCAATTCTCTTTTTCTGCATCCCCCAGAACATCTTCCAACCACAATTGTTCAAAATTAGTGATGTAGTTTCAGGCACATTAAAACATAAAACTGTTACTAAAATTTGTCAACTTTTTAAGTAAGAAAGATATGTTTTCAAAATTTGATGAACAATGAAAAAACCCCCACCATTCTTAAAAAATGTTAAGTGCATTCCTTGGCAAAAGGCAACTTGCCCCATTACCCTAGCATTGATAATAAAGAAATAACATTTTTATTGTATCAGTTTTTGTTGAACCAAGCACTTATATATCTGTATTTTATGTATGTAAAGGCACAGGAAGACATAACAACTTTAACCAAATTCCCTTACCAGTACTTATTGATACTAATAAAGGAGCAAATAGCATTTGGAAATCAGAGCACTGGGAAATACACCTAAGTTTGTAAATCGCAAGTGTGACTGGAATGTTATGAAAATTACAATGAAAATTTCCATGCTTTTTAAAAGGCACACAAAGAAGTACATAAGAAAAGCAGCATTTTCTCTGTGAAACTGCCCAGTAATAGCATCAATAAAATACCTGATATTGTTTTAGTGCAAATGTCTTTTGCAATATAAGAGGCATACTGCAAAAAAATTTGTTTTATACAGTAGTTGTACAATTATTCAGTTGTCTCGAGACACCGAAATGTTGGAAAGCTTATCATAAAATGGTCCAAAATGAAATAATCCTCCATATCCCTCTGGCAAAAATAAGAACGGCTAAGCCTTTTGAGCAAGGGTGTCAAATTCCCACACAACAGTTGGTTCTTCTGGCTGAAAGGAGACTGCCAGCTCCATTGGAGGAAAAAAAAAATTATGCTGATAGATCAGGCTAACCTCTCTCCAGCTTCTAAGTTTATTTGGGTTCTGAAAAGTTAATACAAAGGAATGGTTTTTTTAAAAAAAAAACATTCTAGGACAGAGGTCTCCAACCTCTGGGCCGTGGCCCACTCCCGGGCCATGGCCTGTTTGGAACCGGGCCACACAAGTAATGGGTGAGCATGTGCACGTGTGTGAAGCTCCCTTCATGCAAGTGGCAGCTGCTCGCACAAATGGAGCTGCGTGCACTCGCGCACCCTCACCTGCCACTCACAGGGAACTACCTCCATTTCTCCCCACCGCTGGATCGCCAAGCCAGAAAGGTTGAGGACTGCTGTCCTAGGACACAATGACCTCTCACATTTTTTTCTCTGCTTGGTTAAACTGTGCCTTTAGCATGGATACATGAGCAAAAACGTAGAAAAGAACGCTTTGTAAACTCAATCATTTCACATTGTCTGCTTCTCGTCTTGCACTGCTGCCACTTTCTGCACCACAGAATCCTGATAGCTTTCTAAAGATAGCCATTAACAGAGAAATTACTTCGTATACAAAAAGTAAGCTATCTCATGGTGAACATTTTCTGTATCTATGACTATAATCTACCACCAAACTCCCTTTTACAACCCTGTAATCCCTTAATTTGGGGTAGAGTTGGGTCAATGGAGCTGAACATTTTACTGGCTGGATGCCCTTCCTAACACCATGCAAAGTTTACAGCAGATATTTTTTTTTTCTTTACGCTCTAGGAAATATCTGATACTACCTTGGATTAGGAGGTGAGCATCTTCACCACTAGGCCACCACACTACTCATGACTATAATCTACCATCATCTGCTATCTACCATCTAATCTGCTGAAGGTTTAGTTGATAGCTGAGAGAATCCCATTCAGGATATTTGCAACAAATGTAGCTGTCAGTTCCAAGGCTGTACAAAGCCCTTCAAAAGTTAATATCAAGCTGCAGAACGGGACAAAATAGGAAAATACAGTACCAATAAATTAATGATTATTCTCTCTGTATTTAATAATTCCACTTTGCTTCTACCATCTTTTAATGACACACCCATAACCTACACCAAATTGCTCTATCACAAAATAAATCAGCTGACAGTATTGCATTTTTGTTTTGCTAATTTGCATATATCCAAATGGAGTCATTATATATTAGTATGTTTTATATATATATATATATTTACAATAATGCCCCAGAGAAAATCAATGGTATTCCCTTTTTTTTTCATTTCGTATTATTTTATGCACAGTTGTGTATTTCTACTATAAAGAGAAAAAGAAACCACTTACAAGCGCAATGCAGTTCATTGGTATCAATCCAGTGATATAATTATTGGAAATCATGAGAACAGTGATTGGAGACTCTGTGCTTATATGGAGCAGAGACTAGCTGTCTGGCATTATGCTAAAGCTGCTTTCTCTACAGTATTGCTATATGAAAATACAAACAAATCCAATTCAATTCCTGTCTCATTCTGTATCTCATTTGGATGAACCAAGTGCTTTCACTGAATCCGCCCTCGGAGGGAAGTTATTGGACAGCTCTGAATTCTTTGGCATTAAATTATCTCAGAAATTCAACTGTGGGTTTTCTATCTTATATTACAGATAATTAAATTTAGGTAACTCACTATTTACAAGTCTATATACACTCAGACACACACATAAAGTAAAAGTCAATAATGCCAAAGAAGGTAGTCTTGATTTACTGAGGCTCCTCAACATCCAAGGGCAACATGTCAGTGGTTGACAGTTTTTCCAGCTCCAGGATGTAGGGATTATACTCCTCTTCAAGCTTTTGCTTCCAGATCTTAACTAGAGGTGCAAAAAAGCAAACAAAACACAAAAAGATTTTCCTCTGGGCAAAGACATATAACAACAGTTATGGACTATAATTCTTACAAAGGCTATAACATAAAAGGTAGGAATGCAATGTAGTTTTACTATACTTTTGATAATACTAAAGTTGGGGAAATGGTTCCCCATAGTAGCTAACTAGTAACCATTTCCTACTCAAAACTTGCAGCTCTTGTATTGAGTTTTAGGATCACAAAAATACATAAAATCATTCATAAATAAAATGATAGCTTTCTAATGAAGGAAACTATAAATGACAATCCAGTATAATAGGATTATTTTTTTAGGAAAGGAAAAATTTTCATTTACTAAGAACAGAGATCAACCATATGCTAATTAACAGTTTGGCTAAAATAATATTTTAAATTGTCACTTTAAAAGCTATGTAAGAAAGCTTGCAGGTCATCCATGTTCCCAATAAAATTCCAATTAATTCATCATTTGAGACAATTTATCAGATAAAATGCCCAAACAGGTGGCAGAATTTAGCCAACCTTGACTTAATTAGCAAAAGTAGAAGGGAGTACTATATAAATACCATCAAACGCTGCTGATGGAACCAATAATAACTCTAGAACATGGAGGAGAATAAAAAGTAAAAAATACTTTTTGCCAGCATTCACATATTAGTTGAATGGTTCAGTACTTCAGGCACAAGAATTAATGAAGAAAGTGAAGAGCAACACATGTAAAAAGTACTTGTTAATCTATCCTATCTAATGTATTAATGCTGCGATGCCCACCCTTTCTGGCACCAGTGACCAGTTTTCTGAAAGACAGTTTTTCTATGGATGGGTGTGTGTGTGTGTGTGTGTGTGTCTGTGTTTGACACATGGTTTTGGACGCAACCTAGATCCCATACATGCATTTGCTTCACTTGCTTTCCCGCTCCTTGCGTGGCCCAGTTCTTAACAGGCCGTGGACCAATACCACAGACTGGGGGTTGGAGACCCTTGTATTAATGTATTTCTTGGTCAGTACAGCATGATATGGCCTGCATTCAGAAGAATTACTGCTATCAGAAATGAAGAAGTACATGTGGAGGTGAAAGAATCTAGAGCACTGATTCAAACTTGTCTTATAATTGATACCAAACATAACACGGAAGCTCTACCACTCTGAGAAGGGTATTCAACTTTAAATACACGTTCTATCACAAATGAGATCAACAAGGTAATGGTGGTTTTGCTTGGCTTCCCCTAAAGATACAGTATCCATTTTGGATATCTGTAGTTCAGGTAGTCCTCGACTTACAACAGTAATGGAGCCTAACCATTCAGGCTTCATTATTGTGTTAAATGAAGCACCTAACTAAAGACCTTCCCTGTCCCTGCTTTCCCCTATGCATTTGTTAAAGAATGTGCAGGTTGTTAGGTAGAGCATGGGGTGACTCAGGGATAGGAGAAACCGAGGGAGGCCGAGTGCAGGGACAGATACTCCCAGGAAGACTCCCCCACCATCTAAGATATCCCATGCTCTGCCTCCTGCCCCTTGGTTTCCCCAAAGCCCTATGGGCCTCTTCCATACTCTTCCCTGTCACCATTCCCTTACTTACTCTTTAACAATCTCAGGAAGTCAGGATTGCTTCTGTTGTAATTCTTGCCTCTCCAGCCAGCATAAACCACTACAATTTCTTCTTAGTTCCGTCAGTGTAGCTTTTCACTAGTGGTGCTAAGAAGAAATCGTGCCTATTTTGGTTCTTTGCAAGCCTTTCCTCCCCAATCAGCATAAATCAGTAATTATTTACCTTGGCAGGGGAGGAAAGGATTGCCATGGAAGCAAAAGAAATGGGATTTCTTCTTCACTCTACCAATGTAAGATTAGCATAAAGCTAAGAAGAAATCATGCCTATTTTGATTCCTTGCAATCCTTTCCTCTCCAGCCTGCGTAAATCACCATGATTTCTTCTTAGCAATGGCAGCATTAAGACTAGCATCATGCTAGAGCTGGCAGCACTAAGAAGAAATTGCATCGATTAATGCTGACTGGGGTAGAAAGACTTGCAAGGAACCAAAATAGGTGTGATTTCTTCTTAGCACCACTAACGTAAAAAGCTAGCACTGGTTGAGTTAAGAAGAAATTGTAGTGGTTTATGCTGGCTGGAGAGGAAAGGATTACAACGGAAGCAAACCTGACTGGATTTCTTCTTCTTGATTGTGCCATATGGCCCAATGAGGGAGCGGCCTTCTCTACCCGGACTTCCTGAGCTTGTCAAAAGATAAGCGAATGGTGATGGGGGGTGAGGAGGAGTGCATGGAACCCAGTATGTTGGCAAAGCAGGCCCAGCGCCTCAGAACCTGGCTGGGCAGGATGGAGGGAAATAGGTGGGCGGTTATGCTGCAGCATCTCTGTCGTCAATGATAAGGGCGAATGACCGCAGGGGCACTGCAGAATTTGTAACTTTGTAACCGATTTGTATTTAATTTTTGAGGTGTGTGTTGTAACTTCTAATGTTCATTTAGTGGCCTGTTGTACCTATAAGATTAGCTGTATTTATTTTTGGGTATTACACTACTTTAGTTATTCTGCTGTAGAAGTCTCAAGGCAAGACTAGTTTAAAGGCAGTCACTGACATCACTCTAAAGTCTGAAACACAAACTGCAGCAAGGATTAACAAACCAAGATTAGCATGATCAAGATTTGAAGAATTAAATGACATATTCAGCTACAACAAAGTAATGTGCAAATCTGCAATTGAAGAATATTCCAGAATATTCTGTTCCCCTGGAACTCAATGTCTGAAGCTTCTAAAACTTCTGGTTTAAGAAATTTACTTTTGAAAATTTTGAATTACTCCAAGGATGGCATAGTTGTAGTGGGGGAGCAGAACATTCTCGAGTCTAGAACATTTTGTAATCACTTAATTGTCGTATCTCTGCTATTATAAAAACTATTTACCTTAAACATGAAAATATATGAACCAAAAACAATTTACATATTTTAAACACAGACCCTGAAAACTCACTGTAATTTGGGGAATCCTCTTCAGATACTTGAAGGGGTACTATACCATTATCTAGTGCACAATTCTCTTTCTGATGGGTTTGGATTGCACAGTCACTTTGTTTTATTTCTTCACTTGACTCCTTCTCTAAAGTTGAAATCATTTCCTTGTACGCCAGCCTTGCTTCCATTGTCAATTCCACCATTTTGTGAAAGTGGTCCTAATTTATAAGAATTGGGAATTTTGTATTGACATTAATTTTAGAACTTTCTCATCAAAATATAACTGATTATCCCCAAATAGCATAGTTCCATGTTCAGGGATTAAACCTCAACAGTATCAAGCTGACATGTGTTCCTAAGTTCGATGGTATGTGAAAATCAAGGGTTTGTTTGATTATTTTTTTTAAAGGCTAAAACACCAAACACAAGGGACTACAAAAATGATTCTGGAAAATAGCATTTAATAAAATAATAAAACACAGGAAATTAAAGCGCTTGAACTGTCTACTGAAAATTGTGCAATAGAGAATACCAAGTAACATTATATAAAATTTGCTAGCAATCAGAATCTACAAGCGCAGTACACTGAAACAAAAAAACTGCAGTGATGATACCTATGTAAAAATATATTTTATATTATAGTGCCTCTGTATGTCTCTGTGGCCAAGATCCTAAATGTATGTGAAAACAAACTCTATTTACGTGAACTGGGCATGATACAAATAAAACTGTATAGATAAGTAAGACCAGTTTGCTTATTTTTGTTTCAGGGAAAGTCCATTTTAGGAATTCTGAAGCCATAAAACTTCTTGATTCATCAGTAACTTGCACAGTATTTACAAATGGGGTCTTATTTATAAGAATGTAGGGCAACTCATCATACTAATAGTTTTAATGTTGATCATCTACAGTGGCGCCATGATTAGAGTGCAGTATTGCAGGCTACTTCTGTTGATTGCCAACTGCCTGCAATTTGGCAGTTCGAATCTCACCAGGCTCAAGGTTGACTCAGCCTTCCATCCTTCCGAGGTGGGTAAAATGAGGACCCAAATTGTTGGGGGCAATATGCTGACTCTGTAAACCACTTGAAGAGAACTGTAAAGCGGTATATAAGTCTAAGTGCTATTACTATCATCTAGGAATCTAAAGTTAAATTAGGCAGCAAAAGATTTTATCATCTTGACAAACAGCCCTTGATGCTGCACCAATATAAGGGAATGGACTATTGCTAATAAACCAACAACTGTTGGATACTGAAATACTAGGCAATACTAAAATTAAATGGAAAATTGGTTTTTTCCCACTGACTTTGGGAAGTGGGGCACTTGGGAAATATGTATATCTTCTCTTGTAAAGAACCTTGGATTAATCACTTATCTGTTTTTTAATAAGTTTCTACACAGTACATCTTGTTTACAGTTGTAATATACTATGTTCTGAATTATATGGAGTAACTAGGGCATGGGGGAAGTGCAGCTATTTTTTTTCTTCAACCAAGTTAGAAATAATATTCTGCTACATCCAAAAAGGCATCTCTGTAGGAGTATGCAGGAAAGCAAAGAGAAAGTAATTTGCTGAAGTTTCAAAGATAAGTATAATTTTCCAGGTTACTCAATCATTATTATAAATAATTATTATCTGACATATACACATTTGAGACAAAACCATCTTCTCACTACAATGATTCCTGCTTGCTAAGCAGTCCATGTATTCAGTGCAGAGCCCTGACTCAATGAAAGTCAACTTTTATTTGAAAAAAGTTGCTTCTGAGAGTGAGATCTAATAGTTATCTATAGCCATGCACGCAAAAAAAAATTTTTTTACCAACACCTGCACTGAACATATAAGTAATTGCATAAAACTGACATATTTGCTGGGTGACAACATGGTTACTACAAATAATCATGAACACATTGCTCTAATACTTAGAATAGCACCAAGTTACTTAAGGGCCTAGAAAATTACCCTGGAGTATTGATTGGCATCTTTTTAAATGCTAGCAGTAGTTGTTGTAATACTAATAATTAAGATTTTTAAAAGCTGAAATATTAACCGAAGTGGGCAAACTGTGGCTATAATAGCACAACTCACCTGAGCACCATCGTAGCTGAATATTCCCACCACACTAACAGGCACTAATTTGTTCACACAGTGCCCTAGATCTTTGCGATTGAGAGCAAAAACAAATGGAATATTCTGTTCACATGCAGTGTCAATTATGAGATGCAGAGTCTCATCCAACCCACCTGTGATAAAAAAAAAAACAAATTAAAAGAATGAACTGTTAAAAAGAATTTTCCAGACAGAATAATTAATTTCTCTTCATTTATGTCCTGAGGGATTTCCCAATGTCCCACTAAACTACATCACAAAAGTCATCTGTTTGCTTTAGGTAAATATCTTTTTAATGTAAAAAAACATACCTTTTGACTGAATTTTTTCACAATTTGGAGAAATGATGACACATTTCAGCTTCTTCAGCTTCAAGTGTTTCAACACTTCTCTGAGTCCCAGAACGATTCTGCGTTTCGTCTTGGCCTTCACAGGGTCTTTCTGATACAAACGGTCTTGGAAACGAACCAACTCTTTTAGGAGATCTGTAACGCAGCTGTCAACTTCTTTACTAAGCACTTGGGTACAGTAGCTATAGAAAGAATCAATTGTTTCAGTATTTTAGCAAAAGCCTGAGATCCCCATCTATCTTCTTTGATTCTAATCAAAGATACATACAAATAAATAAGAAGATTGTGTTCAGAACAAATAAGTTCTAAACCATGAAATAAAGTTCAAAAATACTGACTAAAATGCCTTAAAGAAATATTCAGGAGAAATATATATACAAAAAACAACAACCAGGCAAATTGTCCTCATTTAAAATTTTCCTTATGTAGACACAGCTATATCCTGATTAGATTTCTGACATTCAATATTTGGAATAGTAAACCAAAATATGCTATGCAATATGCATGTGGCACCATCAGCAAAATGGACATCACTGAATGTACAACATCAGAATAAGATCTCCTTTATAACAGGAAACAGGCAATCAAAAAAATATAATTTGTTCAGCCAGGTGACAATTTACTTCACTTCCAGGTGAAGAACATGGAACAGATCATGAATTATTGATGTCAAATATACAAGTTAAACTTTAAAAGTTAAACAAATGCTAAATAAAGTTTTACTGGGAGAAATACATTCAGAAACTAAGCTCAGTTAAGGGAACAGATGCAACACACTTATATGAAAGTGAACCTGAGGAGAGATCAGAAAAGATAAGAGACCCTATAAAATTCAAACATTTCAAAGAAGAAATTATTCAAATGACTTGCAGATCAAGCATCAGGATAGCTGGGAAAAGACAAAGGATGAAAGCTAAAGCCTCTGGCAATAAGAAAGATTTATGATAAGTTAACACAGACTTTCAACATCAAGCAAGAAAGGATTAGATAGTTCAATAATGTAAAAAAGATAAGAATAATGTAAAAAACTGGGAAATGATAAAAAAGTAGAGGTAGCCTTAGAAAGATCACAAAAATCATGGGAGGTTTCAGCCAAGTTAGGGCTTTTTAGGAAGAAACATGAAAAAAAAATGCATAGAAGCAAATGAAGTTAATAGAAATTGGAAAGATAATACTCAAATCTTTTTTACAAAGAGGACTGCAGAATAATAGAAACATTTCTTGCAGAGGAATATATTCAGGAACTGACTTCCCTAGAAGTGAAGGACAAGAGATATTAAACCAGCTGTCAAAAGGAATAGCACCAAGCTTAGATGAAATTCCTACTGAATTGTTTAAAGCTACAGAAGAACCGGATAAGATACTAAGAGTTTTACTTCATACAGAACAACACTATGAGGCCCAGAGATAGAAAAATATAGTTGCGTAGAAATAACTGAATCACTACCTTCAATCCTCACACAATCACAATTTTGTTAGGATCTTACAAAGAATAAACTTCTCTGTGGAGAGAGAAATGACATATCAAAAGACAGATTTCCGAAAATGGAAGAGGACATGAGTTCAGATAGCTAAAATGGGATAGATAGTAAAGTTAATCAGATAATTTAAGATATCTTGCTTCATCACAGTACAGCTATAAGTCTTGCCAGAATGTGAAATATATAATAATGCTATAATAATAATATATATAATTATTTCTCAGATAAACCTTTATAATGACCAAGAAGCCACTGTAAGAACTACATGTGGAAAAAATAGTTGTTCAGGATTTGGAAGCAAGTATGAAAAGGATACACATTGCTCAATTTAAATCATACAATCTATTCTTCTTCTTCTTGTGCCATATCAGTCATCGGACGTTGGCGATCATGTTGGCAATCCTATTTTTGTCAACAGCCGTATGAAAAAGCGCTGCTGAGTTTTGTCCAAAGCAGTTCCTTAGGTTTTGAAGCCATTATGTTCTTCTTCTGCCTGGTTTGCCTTCAATCTTTCCCTGGAGGATTAAGTGAAGGATGCCGTATTTTTCTGGGTGTTGCATCACATGTCCAAAATATTCTAACTTTTGCTTTTTAATGGCTTTGATTATTTCCCTTTGCTTTCCCAGGTGGCTTATCACCTCATTTGTGATTTTGTTAACCTAACTTATACGTAACAGTCATCTGTAAATCCACATTTCAAATGCTTCTAGTTTCTTCAAGTGGTTTTCTGTCAGAGACCAACTCTCTACTCCGTAGAGCAGGATAGAAAAGATGTAACATCTGACAAGCATGATTTTCAGTTTTAGGCTTATGTCATGATTGCAGAAGACCTTTTTCATTTTGAAGAATGCTGTTCGAGCTTTCTCTATCCTTGTCTTTACTTCACTAATCATGTCCCAGCTTTCATGTAAATTAAAACCTAGGTACGTGATCCTTTCAACATTTTCTAATGGTATTCCTTCCGTATTTATCAGTAGTAAATTAATGGGTTGTTTGCTGATGACCATGATCTTGGTTTTTGAGGTGTTAAACTTCAAGCCATATTTTTCAGATACTTCTGAGACTCTGTTGATAAGGAGCTGGAGGTCTTCATGCTTACTGGCAAGCAGAACTGTATCATTAGCATATCTTAAATATAGACAATCTATATAAGAACAGAAAGGCTAGACAGTTGGAAACAAACCTGGAAGTTTGAAAATTTGGTATGTGCATAAAATGCTGTCTTTTGTTTGCTGAAAGTAAGGAGACTTTATAAGAACACATTATTTAAAAGAGAGGCACACAACAATCTTATAAAATAGATGGTTTTGAATAATCTGTGATTAAGATACATATTTCAGCCATTTGGGTGCACGAATAGGCACGGACTGAAACTTACTGTTCCAGGTTGAAGTAGTTCTGCAGAAATGGGAGAATTGGGGGGGGAAACCCCAACAACACTGGTAGCCAAGGAAAGAAAGGGAAGGCCCTGGGATGACCATGTGGCAGGCATGCTGATGGAATATCCTAATGGGAGAGAGGATTACAGCCTTGTCCTACTAACCCCATCCAGATTTTATTTTGCTTGAAGCCTGGAATAACTAAAATATTTCTCATTTCAGTTCTATCAAATTGTTCCTGGCTTAAAATTATTTCGTGGAAAATCCAGAATGTGGCGGCTTGTTCTGGACTCAAAACAACATTGAAATAAAGATGAGAAGTGAAAAAAAATATGGGTTAATGTTAAATAGTAAGAAAACAAAGCGCATATCAATCCATATACTTTGTGAACATACAACTGAAAGCTGAAAGAACTGAAGGTGGTAGATAATTTTGGAATTTGGGGTCAAGAATAAAGAGGGACAGTGGACTACAGAAATAAAAAGTAGATTAACCCTAGTAGGATGGCTATGGCAAACTGACATCATGAAGAATAAAGATATAAACATGTTTTTTTTTTTCAGCAGAAATGTAGAGCAGTTTTAATCCTGGACATTAAGGTAGAGTGAAAGAATAAAGATTAAAGATTTGGAGACAATTTTAAGAATGCTGTGGACTACAAAAAGAACCAAACAGTTTTGGACTAAATAAAGTCTAATGTCTCCCTTGAAACAATAATCAGAATAGCATACTTTGGACAAGTGGTATGAGGGACTAGGGGGGAGGAAAAAAATCCCTACATTTGGGAACACTGAACAAAGTAGAAAAATGAGAAAATACCAATTAGATGAAAGGGTAGCATTAAGGAAGTTGCTGAAATGTCTTTGGAAAAGCCATGGATTATTATCTGGCACAAGTAAAGATGGAAAATATTTGTCCCTACTTATACCAGGGGGCTGAACCAAATTGACATCTAATTAACATCACCTGAACCAAATGGTGTATATAAGGGTAAGACAGTTCAAAAATGTCAATTTCTTCTTTGGTGAACCAAAAATTTCCAGTGGTCAAGCTTATTCAAAAGTGCAAATCCACCATTCCACCCTAAAATGTAATTTGCTTACAATTAAGGTTATTCCAGAATTTTACTAATCCAGCATATAGCTGAACATATGGAGGAAATCAAATTGGATGTAGAAGAGGGCCACAGAGGCAGCTCCATCCCTTTCTGATCTTCAGAGGTTCGGCTGGAAATCTCAAATCAAAATTACTTGTTTGAACATCAGTGAAAAAAACATAGTTTTGAACTGCATGGGAAGCTGTACTAACATTTCAGATCAGTATGAGTAGCGCTTCCCTTCAAACATTTACGTTACACAAATTGGGGAGAATAAGAAACAATATCTTCATACTCTATCCAGTTTGAAAGTTTTACATATTTAGCTGAACATTTGAACAGGCCTTGTAAGGATTCTATTCAGATTGTAGCTTTGTGCCAGAACTATCACCAGGCATCCCGCTTTCCAGAGCTCTCAGGCCCAATACAGAAGCAATGTTTGAATGACTGATACCAATGTACTTACTCTCTAAATCTTCGGCTATGGATCTTGGGAAAGCTGGGTTTCAGCTGTGATGGAGCAATTGAGTTTTGCATGGAGCCACTAGATTCTGTACATTTCAAGTCCACTTCTGAACTACTCTGCATCAGAAGTACCGGGTCCTCTGCAACTTCTTTTACAACTTCTAAGTAAAAGGAAATTGTATATATAAATGGTTATTTTTCTCCTTAATACATCAGAAGCCTTAGAAATATTATTGACTAATTTAGGCCAGTATAAATCTATCTATCTATCTATCTATCTATCTATCTATCTATCTATCTATCTTATTATATTTCTATACCGCCTTTCTCCCGTAGGACTCAAGGCAGTGTACAGTCAAGAAAAATATAGACACACAAACATCATAAAATTGCTAATTAAAATTATTACTTATAATTAATGAATTAATTACTAATAATTAATGAATTATTAAAGTGAAACTGGCATGAAAAGTGACAGGCCACATGAGGAGGAGAGATTACAGAAAGGAAAACCATAGAACAGAATGTCTTACATATTTCTATTTAAAGTTTAAGTAATCTTTGTATGTAAAACAAATAGTTAACATTTAAAATAATCACATCAACATGCTTCAAAGGCAAGATGTTTCATATTTATAACTACAGGTAGTCCTTGATTTACGACCACAATGGAGCCCAAAATTTATGTTGTTAAGCAAGACATTTATATGAGTTTTGCCCCATTTTATAACCTTTCTTGCCCCAGTTGTTAAGTGAATCACTGCAACTGATAAATCAGTAACCTAGTTGTTAAGTGATTCTGGCTTCCCCACCGACTTTACTTGTCATGTCACAAAAGGGGATCACAAGACCTTTGGACACAGCAATGGTCATAAATATGAACCAGTTGCCAAGCTTCTGAATTTTGAGCACATGATCATGGGGATGCTACAGTGGTCATAAGTGTGAAAAACAATCATAAGTCATTTTTTCAGACCCTTTTTGAAGGGTCACTGAACGAACTGTTGTAAATCGAAAACTACCTGTAGTAAGTTAAAATTGATACCATGTTGGAGAATGCTCAATCCATTCATCTGAAAGCCAAAATGAATTATCTCCATGCAATATTCGAAAAACAATTACTAACAAGTTTTCTTATTTTCCTTTATTCCATGTTCTCATTACATTTTATATTTAATTTATTGTTAAACTTTATATATTGCTTGAGAAGGAACTGAAGAATGTGATACACATATACTAAATGTATGTAATGTGCTAAATATATATATGTGTGTGTATAGTTATAGATTTTAAATGTATAACTAATTTTAAATGTAACTATAATTTTTTTTTAAATTTGATTTATATGCCGCCCTTCTCCGGAGACTCAGGGTGGCTTACAGTGTGTTAAGCAATAGCCTTCATACTTTTGTATATTTTATACAAAGTCAGCTTATTGCCCCCACAAACTGGGTCCTCAATTTACCTACCTTAGAAAGGATGGAAGGCTGAGTCAACCTTGAGCCTGGCAAGATTCGAACTTACTTTAATTGCAGACAGCTGGTGTTAAATTACAGTGCTTTAGTCTGCAGAGCTATCCAGGCTCAACTAAATTATAGTTATTGTTATATTTACATTTGAAGTTACAGATACATTAAAAATTTGATTAAAGCATAAAACAGAAATACTATATCTTCTTTGCACTTTCAAGCCCTTTAGGTTATATGAGAAGCTAATTCTTTACTGTTCCTGTTTTAAATTTAACGGTGCCTTTTGCTTTTGGAAAACCTGGCAATCCTAGATGCCAATTTAAGATATAAGCCTGGTGCAATGAAGACCAACCTTGTCCACTGCAGGTTTTAACTATCTACAAAAGGCTCAAAGATGGCAATTACATCTGCAAAAGGAAGATGAGAATTTTTAAACAAGATTTTTTGTGCACACTGTAGGAAAAAGCAATGTCTAGGCTTACGTTCAGTAGCAGCTGTTTCACAAACAAGCCACACCAATTATTCATTAACACATTTAAAAAAAAATACAAGCACCTGGACCTGACTGGTTGCCGATGAACCCTGTATCTTCTCTGGGGGCTTTACAAAATTGCGCGTCATCAGGAACAAATTCTGCATTCTGCTCAACAGCATCAGCTTTCTTCGGTATAGCCATCTGTTCTAAAATGTGTTGCTGTTTTCGCTGTTCCCTCTCCTTCAAAATAATCTTAAAAAGAAAATACTTGCATTAGGCTCTCCCCAAATAAGATTAACTGGTTTCTGAAACGTTGGCAGGCAAAATTTAACTACTTTAGGATCCTTTTTTCTGACTTCCCATGAAAGGTAGTAAGACAAGTGAATAGATTTTAAATATGTGGAAATACTGAATTCTTGTTCAATCCACTTGCTCAATGGGATGGGTTGAAACGAATGCCTTTAGTAATATAGGCTTTTAGTGATTCCCATTAGGTCAGATTTTATTCATGTTGACCCACCATGGGCCAAATATCAGGAGGGTCACTTGTCCAAATCCCTGAGGAAGAACAACACCTCTCTCTTAGCAGCTAAATAGCATGAGAGAAATTGGCTAGACGTTTTTCCCTTCTCCTTCTGTGGAATTTTCTTGGGAGACATGACTAACTGTGAAGAAAGAAATAGAGGAATCTAAGCTCAAGTTGTGAATGAAATCTTCCAGAATGCAGAAAAAAATCTGACTTATGCAGACTTCTAGGTGCCCAAATATTCAGAAATAATAGTATTTGGATTTTATTTTATTTCAATAGGCACTAAGCCAGTAACGGCGAACCTTTTCGGCACCAAGTGCCCAAACCGGAATGTGTGTGCATGTACGTATGTGTGTGCGTGCTGGAGCACCAGAAACCCAAAGGCAGCTGGCCAGCACGTGCATGCCTGTTTTTTGGGTGTTTTTTGGTCCATTTCAGGCTGTTTTTTGGTCCATTTCAGGCTGTTTTTTGGGCATTTTCAGGCTGTTTTTGGGGCTGTTTTCAGGCCGTTTTTGGGGCTGTTTTCAGGCCCGAAAATGCCCAAAAAACAGCCTGGAAATGACCCAAAAATGGCCAAAAAACAGGCATGTGTGTGCTGGCCAGCTGTCTTTGGGTTTCCGGTGCTCCAGCATGTGTATGCCTGTTTTTTGGCCATTTTTTGGCCATTTTCAGGCTGTTTATTGGACATTTTCAGGCTATTTTTTGGGCATTTTCGGGCCTGAAAATGGACCAAAAAAGGCCTGAAAACAGCCTGAAAATGGCCATTTTTCAGACAGTTTTCAGGCCGTTTTCTGGCACTCCGGCACCCATGAAGACCAACTGGCTTGCATGCATGTGCACGCCGGAAACCAGAAGAACAGCTGGCGATGGCGCGTGTGCCCACAGAGAGGGCTCTGGGTGCTACCTCTGGCACGTGTGCCATAGGTTCGCAATCACAGCAGTAAGCAAACCTCATTCAATTTCTTTCAAAGCTAGTCTTTCTTCTAATACCTCATTAACATTTTGTGCTAAGCCTTCCCATTGTGTTTTTGTTAATACTTCTTTTTTGAACCTCATTTTTTTAAAAAACTAACATCCCTCATGCTTTCTTTACTGTGTATTCTTAGTAAACTTTCAGTACTATTTTAAACAGATATATTTTGCCACTTTATGTCTTATGCAGATTACAATGTGGTAACATGCATCAGAAGGCCTTGGTCTTTACAGACTAAAAATACCAGGTATTAGTTTAAATGCCCTTAAATTCCTTCAATTGCAAAAAAAGGGAAAACATTTTCATACTTTTGGCCTTAGTGCTACAATCCTGTTTAAGAAAAATAAAACAAAATGGTGGTAACAAACACTAAACTGAAGACTATTTGTTACATCACCCTGAACTGTTCTATTGGATGAGGCAGACCTGGTGGTGTAGTTTTACAGGAGTAGAAGGGTTATTACACATCTCTAACAGGCAGTTGCTAATTGCAACATTTAAATTAAGAGAGAGATAAATCCTATGAGAAAACTATGGTGTTATATTAACATGAATAAGTATCTTTTTAATGTTAAATTAAAAGATAGTTCACAGGAGGATACTAATGTTATGTTACTGTGTCAAAATAAGGTATCTTATACATTTGATATTCCTGATCATTTCAACAGCCTGTCCCCAAAAAACACTTTCAGCAATTCTACCTTAACAGTGAATTCACTCAAATTCTATCTTACCCACATCCCTAAGGATTAATATATTAGTCCTTAATATGTTTTTATAGCAACAGTTTGAAGAATTTAATATGTATTAAATATTAAAGAAGGCCAAAGCATCTACCACAGTGTTTCTCAACTACGGCAGCTTTAAGACATGTCAACTTCAATTGCCAGAATTGTCCAGCCAGCCTGGGGAATTCTGGGAGCTGAAGCTCACACATCTTCAAGTTGTCACGGTTGAGAAATGCTGGTAGGCAAAGGAGCAACAGTTACACTATACTGTACTTGGAGTGGTTAGATGAATGTACCTTTTTTAATGAAGTTGGCTTCTTTGGCTTTGGGACTTCTCTCTGCTTCCCCTTCTTGACCAATGGAGAACTAGAGTCCAAGGGATTGTGTGGAGTATTTTTCTGAATTGACGGTGAAGTTTTTGTCACTCTGAGAGATTCCTTTGTGGGCAATGTTACTCCACCACCAACTGAAACAAATATAAATATGTAAATATAATCTGATGGAGGCTTTAAATCTGAAGCCATTACTTACATTTGAGTGTAATTCAGGTTTAGCAATGAATTTATCACATGAACTCAAGAATATGTAACAGAACAGCTTCCTTTCTTTATGTAGCAATACATTACACAAGCCTTCTCTTGGGAATATGGTAGTTTTAGAAAAGTAAACGGCTGCCAATTTCTTCTGCCTTGTTTTTACCAATTTTAGCTAAAAGTAATTAGTTGTTTATATCACTATTTTTTTTAATGATAAAATATTATGGTTTGTATTCTCTCTTGCACCTTCATCCACTCAACTGCAGATTGCTCCGGCAAGTGTTTATGGTCAGTCTTACCTTATTACTTCAAATAAACCAGTTTGGTGTTTAACACTAAATGTTTAAATTACCGTATTTTTCAGACTATAAGGCACCCCGGACTATAAAACACACCTAGCTTTTGGGGAGGAAAACAAGAAAACAAAATCTGCCTCTGCCTCCCAGCATCCATCCGGTATTCATCTGGCCTGTTCACCGCAGCCCATTCGCTGCAGCCCATTCACTGTCACAGCCTGTTCAGTGCGGCCCATTTGCTGCTGCCAGCGAGACCTGATCGCCGCCGTCGCGGCCCGTTCTAGAACAGCCGATCGGCACCGCACCAAACCCCATCCCCACCACAATATTTGCTGTATAAATCACACAGACATTTCCACCCATTTTTTGGGGGGGGGGGGAGGAAGTGCATCTTATATTCTGAAAAATACGGTACATTTAAGAAATCATGAAACTTTTCATTGAAATTCAGTGACATTGCATTTCAGATCTATAACAGAGTCTGACCACACTTATTGTAATATCTTGTGTGATATATTCAGACTGCTCCCACAAACTTTTGTGGAGCAGTCTGCATTATCTTTCATAGCCATCCAGTGTTTAAGTCTGTCAACCTAATGGTAGATTACCCACAAATCATGATAATAATAATTAATTATTATTTCAATGGTGGAAATACTATCAAAACCATCTATACTTGGGCCTTATCTATGATATAAAAGTGGACCATTTAGACTGAAAAACATTAAAGCTAATGAGCTATGCATTATATCCCCATAGTGGTTTTGATAGATTATACCTGCCCCACATAATGGAGGCAGAGGTTTACTTCAAATCAAACTATTGAAGAAGAAAAGCATGCATCAGCAGATTACATAAAATACATCCAAGAACAAGCATTGATGCAAATTAAAAATTGAAGCTTATGTATAGGAAAACAAAACAAATATTGAAATAATGTAATAAAAACAAGGACAAAATACTGGCAAGAAAAAGCATTATATGTGATGCATATGACAATCAATATCAGCTAAAGAACTGGTAGCTTTGACTTCACATTGCTGTGAACAGATAATAAAATGATATCCTTTCTCTGAATGTTTTCTTCCTATTCCTTCTATTGAAGTCTTTCAATAATTACCTCACCTTACAAGATATGAAGTACAAAATAGAAAGAGTAATAGATTTGAATGTCATCATCTAGAGAAACAGTATCAAAAGCATACCTGAAAGCACCAGAGGTTTAAATGATTGATGTAATTTTTCTGCATGCTGTTTTTCTTCCAAAACTGCCAGCATACCTCCTAAATCAAGCTGTACGGGAATCTGACTCTTTTTTCTGTTTTTCTTAGATGGCAGAGTACCCTGTAGGAAGTACAATAAATAAATAAATAAATAACCCTCCAGTTTTTCTCCCATTCCAAATTTTATCTAAGAAATAAAATGTGAGCATACGTATCCAGCAATATTTGTATAACTCACAAGCAAGTTAATGTAACACAGAAAGAACAAATTTACCTGCATTTTCTTTTTTTCTATTGGAGCTGGTGAATCCTGTTTGCCTGTTTTTCTTGTTGATAATACATCTGGCATAGGTATTATTAATTCCTTTGGAGGAGAACGGTCATGAGACTCAAATGCAGACAGCTTTGTGATTACCTTGGAAAACAAATACAATGAAAAAGTATGAAGGGTGAAAATCTATGGCTCAGTTGAGTAATCTAAACACAAGTAGTCCATGTTTAGCAATTGACTTGTTTCACAACAGTTTGTAGTTACAATGGTGATGAAAAAGAAACTTTGCAACCAGTCTTTTTATTTACAACCTTTGCAGGTCTGTAAAGCAAAGGAAAACTGAAGTAAGAACATACACATTGTTGCTGTTTCACTTAGTAACCACATTGCTGGTTACAAAACAAGGACTACTTGTAGATTTTAATTCACTGATTTAAGTTCTTATGAGGTAACAGCCTTCAAACTTCATGAGTTAACAGGATTCTAGTTACTAACTCCAAAATTATGACGACAGGTTTGGATTCAACTGATATTCCATGGATGCTTTCACATGTGCATCTATTCCTGCTTCAGTTCTTTAGTTTCAAATATCTCTCTGTACCATATGTGATAAGATTGTCCATCCCATCTTGCATGCGTGGGGATGTTGTCATCAACAAACAACTTTGGGTCCAAGTAATTACCAAAGCTTTTCTAATGTGTGTAGAGCAGCCATTCTTAATACATTGGGGGCCATGAAGCAATTTTGAGACTATAAGGTGTATGTTTCACAAAATACCTTCCATGGGTACTTACCTATTCACAAAAATTGCCAACCATAAAATCGAGCAAGACACCCTTTTATGAAAATGCAAACCAGCAAGGATATTTTTCCAAGATAATTTTCTAACGCTGCAGCTCTCTAATATTTTTATTTTCTAAGAAACCCTATGAGGAGTGCTTGTAGCCTTCAAGAATTTTGGTTAAGAAAGGTGATATTGATACTTCGTATCATATCACCTTCCTGTTCACTGGATTGCAGAACTGGTGGAGACAAAAGAAATTTCTGTCAGTGTATCTTCCTCTTATTTTTATTCCCAATTTCTTTATTATGATTGATATCATTTATCAGTGTACTGATAAATGAAGTCCACTGCATTTATTTTTCATGATATTTAATACACTTGAGCAAAGTGCTCAGGACCAATTTGAAATGAAAGAATAAACCCCAGCCATTAAAAAAATGATGCTAAATTTACTTGGCATTGGATCAGCTTTTTCTCCTTTTTTTGTATGCCATTTTTTTTTCTTTTTTGTTTAGTACTGGACATATGTTTTTGTTTCATTTTGTTTGTTTTTCTGTTTTGCATTTTACCTTTTATGATGAAACAAATATACATAAAAAAATAAAAGATAATGAATACTCATTTAAAAGTGAAAATAGAGACAAATAATAATTCTTACTTTAGCCTTCTCAATAATAGGTGTTAAACAAGGAATATTTTCAGTTGCCTGTTTATGTTTTCTGTCAAAAGCAGCTGCTAAATCTGGGAATTCTTCAACATCCTACGTAAATCAAAGTAGATTGTTTGAGTAGATCTGGGTAGGAAACGATTTATTTATTTACAAATACAATTCAGAGTCTGCCTAACTCCTGAGATTTTTAAATGACTCACAATTAAAACAAGAATACCACCCACCCCTCGAAAGAAAATCATAAGCAGTTCAAAGACAAACATATAAATAAAAGACCCATCTAAAAGAAGCTCAACCATTGCTCTGCCCCAAGTTTTGGGTAGACAGCTAGGCGTAATAGCTCCCTGAATATCACCAGGATAGAACCCACTTGAATTTTCTTTCTCAAAGCAACACAAGCCTTTTCTAACCATGCTGCAAATATTGGTTATATGTTTTCTTACCATTTTAAAGTGGGAAACACAAAAGAAAAGGTGTAAGGTACATAAGACAGAAAAACCCTATAATACCGCCACCGAAGCTCAAACTGAAATTCAAAGGACTATTCATATAAATGATAAGAGTTCTATCCTACAGTGGCCTTGGCCTCCAAAGATTATTTATCTCTGGTTTAAGCTATATTACACTATTCCCTAGAAGCAAGCCTTCCTTTTCCCTCTCTCCCATTATAGTATTATGACGGGTTCTAGGTTCTGAATATTTTTCCTTCTTTTTATATGAAGTGATTAAAAAGAGAAGCAACATCTGTTTATGTAAAGAAACAATATTTCTAATTTTGATGATATAATTGAGTAACTAAGTTGACATAATAACTAAGACTCTCCAATTTCCGATTCTGAATTCTCAGGATTGCATCTCACATCTTTCATATATCCACTAGGCATATTGGTTTAGTAACTAAAGGAATATGAAACATATGTTTCAATAGTCTTGTGTGTTAAATTATGAAGGATAATGTACTTGAAAGTTTTTGAACTCTAAAGCAGAATATAAATACAAAACAAAAGCACATGAACTAGCCACTAACCATTTTCAAAAGCTATTATTTATTTATTAAACTTATATGTCACCCCTCTCAGAAGAAACCCCAATGAGAGATTTAAGAATGTGCAGCTGAAATCAGTTGAAGTAAGTGATAAAGCAATCTATTTTTAATGTAATATTATAGTTACGCTCCAAGATGCATTTTCAGTGGGTTTTACTAAGCTAAGGGCATTAAGCAAAACCGTTCTCTCATGCCCTCTACTTTTACTGTGTGTATGTGCCTCTGTATTTGTTTGTTTGTTTCACATTCAGGGAGGAAAACAAATCCCTAATGTTGTTAAAGATATTATAAAGTTTTTAGTGGAAACAGTACTAATCCAAAAGTTATAAACTTGAAGAAAAACTATTATTATACACTATATCAGTTTAACACTTAAAAGTATTTTCTACTTAGTAGTAGAATGTATAACTTTTATAAGATGATTGATTTTCTCTCTCCACTTATGTACTATCATTATTACACATGGCATTAACAAGTAAAATAAAAAGGGAAAAGATTTATTTTTAAATAGGATCTAACATTTTAAATAATTAAGGGAAGAAATTTATACTAAAGCCTGGAATTTAGGCTTAATTTTTATTTGACATAAAATAAAATTTATATGATTTTTGATTGTCGTGTGAAGTTTAAATTATAATTATTTTTTATTTCTTTAAATTATGCTGTGCTATAATTCCTTCACAAGCACATAAATAAATAAATAGTTGAGTCAGATAATTAGCTTTAGCACCTGAATTCTTGGAGGGTCTTGAATTAAAATCCTCTGGATATGAAGCTTCTCTACTTCACTGCATGATCTGGTTTTCTTTTTCTTCTTCTTCTTCTTCTTTTTATTTGCTGTTTCTTCAAGGTTACTTGCATTTTCTCTTCTTTCTGATTGCTGTATAAATAGAAGTAAATATAATTTCTTAGGAGAGATATAAAACAAAGCCAAGACTGTATTGTAGAGTATGATCCTTTTATTTATTGGATTATTGTTATCGTGAGTTGCCCAGAGACGTTTAAGATGGGTGGCCATATAAATATTTTAAATAAATAAATGTAGATAAATAATAAGTATAAATAGAAGAAGAGGTATGTAGTGAAAGTCAATGAAAGTTGATCAGGAGAGTCATTATGCACAGAAAAAGAAAGAAAAATGTGGGTTACTTAATCTCATATATTCATTTAAAACATTTTTATACCACTTGTATTAAAAATATTCTAGAGAAATAATTTTATTAATTCAAGGCAAGAGTACTATTCATGTGTTTGATTTTTATCACAATTATCATTGTTACAAATCCATGCATTTAGATATTTTATACTGCAGGTTCACTAAACTTCTGGTTAATTATAAAACAGTGAAAGAGCTTGGAAACTTCATACCTTGTAATCCTCAGCAGCATTATCTGTTATTTTACTTCCAGAATGATTGCTTGCCAGAATTGAAGCTGGAACTGGAACAACTTTTTTGGGAGTTTGGGAAAGCACAGTGGCCCAAGATAAGGGTATTTCAGTGAAAAGACCTGGATGTGCCTGAGGAACTGAGAACAGACAGAATATTTTATTCAAACTAATACCAGAGTAAACTAAGAGTTGAAATCAGGGGTCTTTGGTGCTCTCTGAGCCTGGTTATTTTCTTGCCTGAGGAACTGAGGTCATAATGTATTATTCAAACTAATATCAGAGTAAACTAAGAGTTGACCTTATATGAAATCATGATTTTATGTATAAAATGAAAACAGGAGATCCTCAATAATTACTGTATATGTTGAAACAGACTAATTACATGTATGGATATTTTATCCACAGAATGAATGGATTTTAAGCACATGTATTTATAAAGTAAGAACTGGAATATGAATTAATGCTTTCTAATTCTAAAGTAGCAGGATACAGCATCAACATGAAGCCAAGTTATATCATGCTGGATAGTGCTTACCTCCGGGATCTGATGAAGAACTTAAGGGTCTTGTTGGTAAATGCTTTTTCCGACATGCTTCACCCTATAGTAAATATTAACACCTTTAGTTGAAAATATGTACAACTTAGTGTAATTTAAAAATAATTTATCACATGCACCTCTACTCAAGAGTCAATCAGAAAGTAAAGCCTCACCATGATAATAAATTAAATAATAGTTCATAATAAAATAAAAAACTGTTCCAGAATAGCTTCAGTTGTTGCAGAAAACATCTTGCTTCATTAAAGGAATTCTTCGGGATCCAGTATGTAATTTATGTACAATGGAAAATCCATATTTAGTTACATTCAACTACAAATTACAAGAGCCACTGAAAATGAAATACAAATACATATATACATACAGGTGTTTTTTTTTGCCAGACAGGAATAAAAATCTTATCCTTTTAAATCCTTATTTTTAAAATCTTTAAGTCTCTTATACAGAATTTGTTGGAAATAGGTGGGTTTATATTTTTCAAATTGGTCATTATTACTTATAACTCTGAATTTCCTATCTATTTGTATGTAATAAATGAAGCTAAAGTCATAAAAGAATGGGGGAGCGGGAGTAAAAAGGACTGAAGAACTTCAATCCTTTAACTAAGCAAAACTTTTTGGAAAAAAAAGGCTAAACTTCTATGGCTGAAGTTTAATTTATTAGACCCATTTAACACAACCACCATAAACCAAAACTCACATCTGGCCAATAAATACCTGGCTAATTTTTTTATTTAGCAAGCATGATTTGTTAATATTTATTACCTGCTAGACTGTACAAAACTTAAGCTATATTAATGCATTCAATGCATTGATCTCACTGTGAGACAACTACAAAATTATTATAGAGTAGAATAAACCAGGGGTGAAATGCTTCCAGTTCGGACTGGATCACCCGATCCGGTAGCGATGGAGGCAGGTGGTTCGGAGAACCGGTAGCAAAAATCCCTGCCCCCTCCCCCCCATTGCCCAGCTGAGCCATGCAATCATCAGAGGCTTTTTAAAATTATTTTTAAAAGCATTTTTTCTACAACCTCTTTGGCGGAAAAAATGCTTTTAAAAGTAAAAAAAAAAAGCCTCTGATGATCACGCGGCTCAGCTGGGATCATCAGAGGCTTTTAAAAGCATTTTTTCTACAACCTCTTCGGCTGGTTTTAAAAGTAAAAAAAAAAAAAGTTGGGCACGCCCATTCAGTCATATTACCCCCCCCCACCAAGCCACGCCCACAGAACTGGTAGTAACAAATTTTACATTTCACCACTGGAATAAACCAACCCATACAAAAATTATTATATACACAAATGTAAAGAAAAATTGAATCATTTTTCATTGCCAACCCAACTCTTTCTCTTTATATGAATCAAACTAACTTTTTGTTTTTTCCCCCGAAAAGGATATTTTATACATAATATATAAAATGATCAGAAGGTCATTTTAAGAAGACTTAGAGGAACATTTTTGGTAACTAAGAATTCAGTTCTAAATTTTCTCTAACATGCAATGGAATTGACATTATTGATGGAGATATATTTCTATTCATTTTTCCTTAAAAGAGATTGGCAGTTGTACTGATCAGTAAATAGTTTCGTATCAACACCTCTATGTTCAACATCTCAAACACTATCCAGTGGCTAACCTCTTTGGTTATGTTTGAAATTGCAAGTTTTCCTGGAGGTGTCAGAGGCAGCTTATCTCCTTCTGCTGAGCCCACTGGCCCCCATGCATGCTTTTGAAGATCCAGGAGATTGTTACTTTCTAGGTCTTGGAGTTTTGGGAAATCTGACAAGGTCATTTCAAAGGCAGGTTCTGGTAGATGCTCAGCGTTTGGAATTTGCTTGAACTTCCCATTCATAACTTTTATAGGCCTATCTAATTTAAAACAAAATGTAAACACTAATGGTTACCTTTTTCAATAGCCATAATCAGTTTACTATTTTAAAGTTATTATATTTAGGCCAAATCCTGAAACAAATTATTCTGTTAAAAGACTCAAGCTGCTGCATTCTACTACCCTGTATACTATCTTGATTTTCATCTCTTTCCCCAGCCAATCCAGCCAATGATTATATCCGCACTAAGCATGCTCAGTTCTAATTAGGTTGTTTCCCTTCATTCCCCTCCCATTTGATTTAGGTGTTAAATCTGTAGATGCACACAATTGTGCCCTGTTCCAGCTACATCCAAAATCTGATTCCCCACCCCCTCAAAGACTTCTATAGGAACTTTATTTCAATAGAGAGAACATTTCAGAATAATTTCTCTGCGTGGATGGGAAAGTGCTGCATTTTAACCATCTTTAAATATATTGTTTAATAATATATGTAATCGAAAAATGATCTCACTGTGTATTCTGGCCTCTTTTTTTTCAATCATGTGAGTCAGTGTATCACATTTAATAGGATTCCTGCTCTGCAGAGCAATAAAAGGTGAATTTTCTGTTGATCTGCAGGTAAAATCACTTCCATTAGGCCTTTTATCCTCCAGTCTAGTTTCACTATTTTTCAGCTGTCTCTGTACAAAATAACAAAGAAAAACAATACATATTCCAAGTTGATTTTTCTAAATTATTTCCCTGTTTATTCCACTTATATTATTTACATTTATTCAAATACTCAATGGTTATTAAAATAAAACATGCAAAACAAAACGAACATTAAAGAAAAAACACAAATTACGCTTAAAGAAAAGACACTGACAAGAGAGTATATTTCTCCCTGGGATTAATGCAGGAAGAGGCCCTTTTGCATATATCTAAACAATTGGTTCTCAGAGAGAGAACGCACACAGATGAGCCTCTTCTTCAGATCTTAATATTCAGACATGTTCATATGGGAAAAATGATTTCTCAGATAATCCTCTAAACATTAAAAATAGTTAATATTAACTACTTCATCTCTGCTAAGAAAACAAATTGCAGTAATACAGATCCAGCTATATGATTTGAGTATTGGTTTGCAGCTCAGCTCCTGCACTTTGTATTAACTGAAGCTTCTGGGCGTTTTTCAAGGAAAACCCTATGTGCAAGTAGTCCTCGACTTACAACCATTCATTTAAGCAACTTTCTGAAGTTACGGCGATACTAAAAAAAGTGACTTCTGATTGGTGCTCACACTTATAACCATTACAGCATCCCCAAGGTTATGTGGTCAAAATTTGGGTGCTTGGCAACTTGCATGCATTTTATGATAGCTGTGGTGTCCCAGGGTCACGTGATCTCTATTTGCAACCTTCCCAGGGAACTTCCAACAAGCAAAGTCAGTGAGGGATGTATTTAACAACCGGGGTGATTTACTTAATAACTGTGGAGAAAAAAAAGTTGTAAAATTGAGTGCCAATCACTTAACAATTTCCCTGCTTGGCAATGGAAGTTCTGATCCCAAAAGTTTTGCTGTAAGTTGAGGACTATCTATAGCAGGGATCTCCAACCTTGGCAATTTTAAGACTTGTGGACTTCAACTCCCAGAATTCCTCACCAGCGAAGAGTTGAAGTCCACAAGTCTTAAAGTTGCCAAAGTTGGAGACACCTGATCTATAGTGCTCTTTGTAATAGATGCATTGAAATACAAAGCATGAACAAGGATTACCATATCTGATTTGTCTTAGGAAAGGTCACAGCTGAAACACTGGATCTAATTGTGTAATCGGGCTCTTTATTGCAGTCATTACTTGCGAATCCAATGACAGCTAAGGATAAAAAAGCATGCTGGAATGCGGACCACAGGTTCTCATTTTGGCAGTGTTCAACAGTATTAACTCCTTTGGAAATGAAGAGCAAGAGGTGAGAATACAGAAAGAACAGAAAATAGCTGTTTAAGCTGTTATCACTTACCCTGGATAAAGTAGCACATTCTTTTCTGATCAAAGAAGTCTGTTGTATGTACTCTCTACCCTGTTTACTAGAAATGTTCTGACTCTGGAAGCTGGAAACTGCATGTGTTCTTGGTGTGGCAGTAAGAGAATATGGAGAATTGGTGTACTCCTCAAGAGAATTACATCCTGTAAGATTTTGAGATGCACGCTGAGAAAGACAGGTGGAGGTATCCCATGGTACTTCTTCAATATATAGCTGTTGTCTTAAACAGAATAAGCATATTGATTTTTAGCGGAACAGATTACGCAAACATATCAACATTTTGTAGTAGGAAAATAATCCCACTGTAGAGGTATGTTTTTATTTTATATCATAGTATGTGTGTATTCAAATGAAACAATTGTTATAATGCAGAAACGTGGCTTTCTAAAGTTGTCACAAATCACTTGGTTTATTTTGCTAAGAATTTTTTGAGAAGAAATAAACATAAAACGACATGGTATACAGAATGAAAGCTGATTCACAAAATTCAAAAGTACATGTGTTAGGTTACAGATGTAGAATTTCTTCCATAAATTGCAAGCAGTACTATATCAAGAAAGAAAAGAGGATAGTTGAAAAATATTTCAGTTCTAAATGCTAGCACTAGAAGTTTAGATTTCTGATCAACATATAAGAGAACATTATAATGAACATCACAAGTTGTGAAAGTATCAACATTTATCTGTATGTTTCTGGAAATGAATTATTTTATATAAATAGGATTTTCCCTTTAATGACTAAATGGTAAGCTATACTTTTGTTCCAACAGCAAAACAATCAAACAAAAAAAAAAAGGAACTGGTATCTCAAAAGTTTTTTTCTTTATCTTTATTTCTCTTCTCTTCTTTCCATTTAAACTCTGTTCTTATTCTTATTTTTCCATAGATAATAAAAGTAAGACATTTAGGGATGAGAAAAAGCCCTTAGTTACTCATCAACTCTGAAGTGTCTCATAAGAAATACAAGAAATACTGTAGTCTAAAATATTGAAGGAACATTTCAATGATATCACTCAGAATTATTGTTGAAATGGGGAGCCATATACATTGCTTAAATAAATAACCAATAAATGTAGTTCACCAAACTTAGAAAATTACATTCAAGATCTTGGGAAGTTAATAAGTTTCCTCAAAAATGAGACATACAGGGTACATACTTATTCACTGATGGCTCCTGAACATATGGGTAGCATGTCGTATAATATCCAGGAAAGACACATGCTTCTGAGGGTTCTGGCCATGCCACTGTTACTGCTGCAAATTTCGGGACAAATGGTTCGACCTCTGCTGATAACTTGATGCCCTGCTTTGCAAAATAAGTTTTGATTACATATACTTTCAGATTATCTACAATCAGTTAAAACGTTATGTATGTACATGAGAAAAAATATGATTCTTCTGTTCTTCAAACAAGAATGAAGACATTAAAATGCCAACTGTATATTCTCTTGATAATTACAATCAGCTGCAAAGATATTATAGGCAATAGAGATATTTTTTCTATCTTTGCTATAAAATTAAGTTAAAAGACTTTCTATGGCTAACCTTTTTGCTGTCGCGTGCCAAAAGCAGGGGGAATGGGGAGGGGGGTGTTGTGTGCATGCGTACACCCATAATTCAATGCCCCCCTGCACCCTGTGCATGTGCGTGCAACCCCCCCCTCACTCCCCCCGCTTTTGACACACAATGGCAAAAAGGTTACCGGTAGGCCTGAAAACGGCCTCCCCGCACCCTCCCCGGAAGCCCTCTGGAGGCTGGAAATGGCCCATTTCCTGATTTCTGGTGGGCCCAGAACGCCTGAAAATTAGCTGGCAGTGTGCGCATGTGCGCTGGAGCTGAGCTAGGGCAACACTCGTGTGCCCACAGATATGGCTCTGCGTGCCACCTGTGGCATGTGTGCCATAGGTTCGCCATCACGGTTCTATAGGCTTTAGGGAGTTTCTCCCTTTTTGCAATCTCTCTTCTTTTGCAGGAATCTCCCTACTATCCTTTTACCCCAGTTGCGGTCTTGCATTACAAGTTTAAATGTCAGATGTAATTTAAAGTAAAAGTTTGGGAAAGAGGAAACATGTGATCTTATTACACACTCCTAGCATATGTATCTATGTCTATGTATCTATGCACGTTTATATGTGTAGAGAGAAAGAGAATATTAACATGGTGTAGCAGCTGGACAAGAAGTAGGGAGATAAGATTCTAATCCTCCCTTAAGCACAGAAGTTGCCAGGTGACTTTGGGCCAGTCACTCTTTTTCACCCCTAGTTAGGGGAGTTAAAAGAATATCTATCAATTCATACTAGACCACCACAGTAGATTATAATCTGTAACATTCAGTGAAAAAGACCTGTAATTCGTTGATTTGAGCTGAAAATAATAATATGCATATACACTGTGGTATGTTTGCATTGGATCTTTCATTTATATAGCAGCAACCAAATAAAGCAAGTTATTCAGCTAGCAGTTAAATGCCCATTCACCGTGCACCCTCTAGTGGTTATTTCTAGAGACAGTGCAGGAAACTTAAGTGTTTCGGTCAAGAATATGAATTATTTATTTTTGCAATTAGTCGTCATAATCTGGCAAATTTATACTGATTGCCTGTAAGTGCACATTTAATCAAAATTTGAAATATACACATTAAATCACATTGGAAAAATATTAAGCTAAAGTATGCTTATTGAATAATTTTTACATTTCTCTGACAATTTGAATACATTGAAATAATTGAATATTTTGAAAATTCTGCAACTTTACATCACAGATTTTTTTCAGCCACTAGCTAATCATAATTATCCTTTTGATGAAATAAATAATTCATAAATTAAAAACTGAAAAGAACATATACTATACAACCTTAGCCAAAGTGTGTGTGTATATAAAAGCCCACCCCATCCGAGTGAAATATTAAATATTTGTACTTGCAATTTCCCTTGTTCTATACCATGTAAAGAGCCAAGACATTAGACTGAGTTATCTTAAGCTTCTACAACATTCCCAATCATATTGTTGAAGTATATTGGTTTATTCTGTCAGGAATCACAGTATAGACCGTTAATGTGCTTGTATAAGTCCTATTAAGCCATATGGAACCACACACTTGCTGGTTCTTTCTCCAAGTGGAATAATTGTCTTTGGTTCATTTTGAATGTATCATGTTAGCCACAAAATATTCTTAGCTTAACCACAGAGGATGTGAATAAACTTAAATAATGAGAACTCTCTTTGACTAGGAATGTCAGGCAATATGGCAAAATTAAAGCAGAGAATACTTTTTCCTGGATGCACTTTGCTCCCAGAAGAAAAGCTAATAAATGCAGATAAGCATATTCACTAAGAAGCAATACTAATGATCTATTGCATCATCTAGTTTTAATTTGGCTACAAATATTATTTTAAATAATCTTCTATATATATGCAAAGATCATTACTTGCTGCCATCTGTTTCTGATAAAGTTATCTTTGGCAGTTTTGCCAATGTTACTCTTATTCCAGTGTTCATTATTGTCAGATACACAAAATTTGGTCATAAATACATGCATTGGTCAAAAAATTTTAACTGTTATATTTGTAATAGTTAAAAGAAGTACCTGCTACATAAGAAGTGTTTCTTACAGATTAAATAGTAATAAGTCCAATTTCAGGTTTCATACTTCCTAAAGTAACTGTTATAATTCTCTCTCCCTGCCTCTTTAAAAAGTTGTGACAATATTTTCAACTAAACTAGGTTAAAATTCTGGAAGAAGACAATGGCAAACCATTTGTATATTAATATCAAGAAAATGATATTGTTGCACATTATCTGATTCCTTGATGTGGAGCTTAATTTCAAGAAGCTGTTTTGCTTATTTTAATTCAGCTTATTTGAAATCATTTATATTTACAAATAAAATTACAATACTGTTTTATATTGTAATGTACCTTATGTTATCTGAGACAAGTCTTGTTAATCAGATAATAAATATATTCAGCGAATAAAATAGGTTCCTTTTATTGGAAAAAGCCCTGTTTAGCTTTTTGTGGGAAGTTTTGGCATTAAAATATGATCGTCCTTGAAAAACGAACAAATGGGGAGAAATGGCAACCCTTTCACTGCTTTGGAGAATAGAAATTAGGTGCAAGGCCAAATACACTATTGAAAAAAAAATTCCATGGGCAAGATTCATTTTAATTTTAGCCACCTTGGAAGCAGAATGGAATCCATTAATTCCCTGTAATGATAATGTTTACAGTATATTTGCTACGCTCACATAATATTTTAACAGTAAGCCATGGTTAACAAACACGCCGGTTTGTATTCAAATAACTTGCTGATCTAAAACGAAAATAAACCACACTATGGTTTAATGTGACGCATTTTGTTTGGCTTCGGACTTTCCGCTACAGTTCGTTAACTACGATTTAGCGGGTTGTGAAAACACACTCGAGATGTGCCTTTCCTCAGGGCCATTGGCTGCGCCCACCAGATCAATCTTCGCTTCTATTTGCTTTTCCTTCCCCAGGGAAGGACGGACTCCCCACCTGAACTGAAAAGACTGTCATCTTACACCTTCACTTCGAGGCTCCCGCCGTAAAGCACCAAGAGGAAACCTCAGGCAGAGGCTTCCTTTTCTTTCTCTTTACCGGGATGGCGGGGGGGGGGAGAGGGGGGTTTAGTTCTTGCTGCCGGTTACATAACAACGGCCAGGGCGACTTAAAGAAAAGCCGGTCTTTATTTTTAGTTCTCCGCAGACCCAGCCTGACCGCCGTTTCCCGCTTACCTCATTGCCCGCTCCCCGTTCTGAAGTCATGGCGGGGGGAAAAAAAGAAGGGGCAAGCAAAGGCCAATGCCTCGCTAACGGCGACTTCTACCCTACCCTCCACCACAAACCCAGCTGGCGCGCACAAAAGCCGTCATGGAAGCGACGCCCGAGCCTCCGGGGCTCACGGCCAATCAGCAGCAGTGTAGTCGTCACATGACGGTCGTCATGACGCCAGAGGCAAAGAGAAGGTTGCAGGCGGAAGTGTTCGAAGGTTCTCTCGAGGAAGCCGCGTCCAGCTGCAGAGGCAGAGCAGGCCATCGTGAGAGCTTTTGGTACCCAATCTCCGAGAGGAAGTGACAAAAACCTTGGCTACAATACAACACTATCCTCTAATTTTTCTGGAAGTTCGTGTCAGTAGACGCTTTTTTCAGTGGTGGGATTCAGCCAGTTCGCACCACTTCGGGGGAACCAGTTGTTAACTTTGAGCAGTTTGGCAAACTGATTGTTGGAAGAAATCATTAGGGCAGAGAACCGGTTGTTAAATTACTTGAATCCCACCACTGGCTTTTTCCCCCTTCAAAATTAAGTCACATAAAACCCTATACGTATGTATTGTCCTGGGAAGCTGCTCTTTCATTTGACACTTGATATTTTGCAAGCCTATACTACTATGTATTAGTAAGATCTCATCTATACTTATGTTTGACTTTTCTAAGCAGAAGACATTCTGGGAACCTGTTTGCCTCATTAAATGCACTGCATGTATTTTAAGTGTATATTCCAAATTTTATTTGGAGGACTTAAAGTGGCATGTGGTTTACATGCAGTTTCATTCATCTTCAATATTCTTTGTGAAGTTGTGTCTAGATAAATGGCAATTGGAGCCCGGGACTCCATAATGAAAATTCATTATTCTGTCAATACAGGCACATCACATAAAGGTTAGGGATTAGTTTAGAAAAGGGAATCAGTATTCCAAATGCTGGCAGAAAACAACACTTAATACAGAAAAAGTGGCACTACTCACAAGTTTCAATCTTAGAAAAGGATGTTCTGTCATTATGCTCTGAAGTTTTAGTAGGACTGTATCATGGAATTGTAAAGTTGGAAGGGACCATAAAGATCTAAGCCTGTGTGATGTGCAGAAAAACTAAAACATCCATGAAAAATGGTCGTCCAGTTATTAAAAATGTCTAGGTAGAGAACTCACTCTCTCCAAAAGAAGCCTGTTCCACTATTATAAAGCTCTATTAGAAAGTTATTTAAACAATATACAGGTAGCTGCAACTTATGTCTATTTCTGGTCAGTTTCTATGGCCATGGAAATTTTCAACCATGTTGTCTGTTATTTTTCATTTTGTTCTAAATTATTATGGCTTCCTTGATTCTCCTCACCCATAGACAACTGGGAGGCTGGAGAGAACCAGACAATTTAAGTTCTTTTAGCCTATTTTCATAAAGCATGTCGTCTTAATACAATTTTCATTATCTCCTCTGAATCCTTTACGGTAGACATGTTAAACACATGTCCCACACCTGGATCTGGCCTGTGATAGGCCATGGAGTTGGCCTGCAGGGCCATCCGGGAGACGGCAACAGACTGGCCCTGCTGTCCTGGGCCCAGCCACACCCACCCAGTTAGCCATGATGACCAGGCCACGCTCACCATGGCCCTCCAAGGGGAAACAAACTCCTGATGCGGCCCGCAACAGGATCGAGTTTGACACCTCGCTCTACAGCATAGCTGGTCAACCTTTTGGCTTGTCTCAGGATGCATATAAAGTATGTAATATAGTTTATATAAATATCACTAAAAATCACATTTATAAAACTTTACAAACTTATAGCTATCCAGGACCATGTGCAACCTGTGGGCTGGACACACCTGCTGTACAATAACCTATCAATATAATTCAGGAAATGTAGACCTTAAATCATACATGAAATTCCAGATGTGATTGCACCAGTAACAAATAGAATGACTTCATGCACCCTTGACACAATTCTTATAATGCAAGCCAAGTCTGTTACTTACCTTCTCATGGGTGTATCATACTGCTGACTCATCTTGCCAATGACCACACCCAAGTCCTGCTCAAATGTAGTGTTTCCAAACTATTATTTCCGTGTTTTATGTAGGTCCTACATTTTTACAATATCTAAATGTAATACTTTAACAATTAGCTATATTAAAGGATATCTTGTTACTCTCAGCTCAGTCTTCCAGCCTGTTGAAGTATGCGGTTGATTAACAAGGTGATGTAATGTGCATTTAAGTTTAAATCTCCAGAGTCAGATGAATTGCATCCTAGAGAATTTAAGGAATTTACTGTAGTCTAGCCAAATATTTATCCTTGAGAAATTCCCAAAAATGGAATACATTTCCAGGAACAGTAAGACTCACTCTAACATCAATATTGGGGAAGATTTTTGAGGTAACAGAGCAATTGATCCATAAGCACTTTGGAAACAAATTACCACAAATCAGTATGAATTTGTCAATTGGTTTTGCCCATGAGTCTCATTTTTTTTGAGATGGATAATTTTCTTAGTTTCACAGCAGGTAGTATTTATGACTAGCTGATCTATTAGGAAATCTCAGATCTATAGACAGGTCTGAGAAATAAGCCAGCTGTTATTAAAAAAATTTGACAGCTTTTTTTTATACTGTATGGAAATTAAGAAATTAAAATCCATGAAATACATATCAAGATTTAATTTTAAAAACAGGTTTATTTCTTCAGACCTATTTTAGGAGTTGAAAAGCCACAGGATGAATTGCTCTAACAGTTATAGAAAGATACATTGCTAATATAAACCAAAGATCATTGAAGATTTTATAATCAACACATTACATGTAAGTTGTAAACTTTATTGAACAAAATTGACAAGAGCAAATAGGCACTTGTTAACAATGAGAGTTCAAGATCATAGCAGCCAACTTAACTTTGCATTTTACTGAGCTCTGTTGCTGTGAATAATACAGCTCATGCACAGGTAATGACTTATTTGTACATTTTTCTCAAGTATTCACTGAATACTACCAACATATATACATTTGTACATAAAATTTCAGAAATTTAGAGAAGTTATTTTTGTTGGCCTTTTGGAAGTGGTCTTCTAAAAAGGAGGATATGTGGTTCTGCAAGAGAAAGATAGAAATTTGTTTACGCCTGTTGTGAAAGCTTACACTTGCCAATCATGCTGATCAAACCCATCCCTTTATCACTGCCATTCTGACTGACTTGGAAAGAATAATCCCTTCAAATATGTAACATTAGACTATAGTCCAACATATTCAAAACAAATTGTGAAGTCATATCACAACTAAATATTTCACATTTATTAAAAGAAATGTAAGCATGCTAAACAAAATGTATTCAAAATATTTTGTATCACAATATAATATGTTACAACTAAATTTTCTTCTCCAAAGCAAGAACTATATGATTTAGCTTAATCGACACAGGACACTTTACATTTGTATTTTTCCCTTCAATTCCCAGATGTTGACCACAAATTAAATACACAAACATTTCAGTAGGTTATGCAAACACTCCCCATTCACAGCAGTGCAACATGAAGTCTACAAGGAAAATATTTTCTAAAAATGTAACATCTGCATTTATTTTACCTGGTTCATGAATCATATAGTGGACCCAGCCAAGACTCTGCTGAACACCAAGCCTTCTCCATTCTTCTTCAGTCATTAGATGTGTTTTTGGTACTTGCTTTGAGAGCTCTCTTGGCAGCATCACATGCCTATCACGATTAAAACGTATACATCAAACTCACACATAAAATGGTTAGTTTTGACTCAATATGCATGAACCCAGTCATGAGTAAAATTAAGTTTCCTATAAAAATCCATTGCTTTTTGGAAGTGATCGAAATTCTTTAGAATCCTGCTTCGGCTGAAGTTACCTAATCAACAATGGCAGTATTCAGATACTTTCAAAGGAATTGTCTAATATTAGGTTAAATTTGCAGTTCCACAAACAAGTCTTCAATATTCACACCATGCACAATTCAAGCTATTTCCCTAAATCTAGAAGATGCACAAAGAAAAAACCATTCGTGCAGCCAACGCCCACTCAGTCATTAAGTTTCCCCAACAGTTAACCCGGATCAGCCAATTCTTTATTATTATTTTTTCCAGAGCTGCGGTCAGGATGCAGTTCAGGGTGGAAAGGGAGAAAAGTTACTCTCTCAGAGATCGAGTGTATGAAAACAATAGGCGGTTACTGTACTTAAGCAGTGCCTCAGCTCTTTTGCTGGCGGCTTCTACCTATAAAGATGATTTTGGTGGGCATTGATGCCACCTTTCCCCGGCGTTTCCTAAATAACCCCTGAAACTCCGCACCTTTCCTTTTTGTTACAGCCTCTGAGGCGGCCCAACCGCTCGTTGTTTCGCTTTTGTATATCCAGGCAAAGGCAAATTGATCGAAAACCGACTTCAGCCATTCCCCCGCCCCCGCCCCGGCACAAACGAAGTAACACGAGCCTCCCCGTTCTCGTACCGGTATTCGTAGTTCTCGTCGAAGTATTTATCCGAATAATAGATCTGCTTATGAGCCATTATGAGAGGAATGGCGGCGACCACAGCGAAATCCCCCTCCGGCCCCAGAGCTCGTCACTAACCGACTGCGGTGAAGGCAACACAGCACCCGACCCAATTTGAATCCGACATCTCGGCGCTGATTGGAAGGGAGCCCCGAACTAATGGGAGCGCGCGCCGTCACGTGGTCTCGGTCTGTTGCTATTTGACTCTCTCCTAGGTTTGTCTCCGTTTCCACCAATCAGAGAGACGAGGCGCCGAGCCGCAACGGAGGGGAGGGGCGGCGGCGCTAAATACACTCGGCTCGCAATGTTCAGGCATTGGTTATTGGGACCTGGCGGGTTTTCTCTCTCTCTCTCTTTCTCTCTCTCTCTCTCTCTCTCCCTCTGACGGAATGATATACGATTCCAATATCTCCAGCGGGGTGGTGTCCAAGAGCTGTTGTTGTTTTTTTTAAAACTATTGTTATCGTAATGGCTGCTCTTCGCCCATAGTTACCCATCTTTTGCATATTATTTTCAGGACAATTTTCTGCCCGCGTCGTTTCATTCTTTTGGCGTGTTTCATTCAAGAATTTAGTCAAATGAATTCCGGGGTCCAGAACTACAATCAAAAGTGGGGTATTTAAAACTCCACAAGGATCACATTCTAGAATGAATAATATATTGGGGAATCATTTCATCCCTTTCCTAAAGAGATAGTGTTGCATATAGGATTTGCAGACCTTTTTAAAAAAAATTCTGTGTCTCATTCGGTCTACTGAGTGCCCTCAAAGAGGGAAGTGATCTGAGTCTTCTGTTGGGTGTGGCTGCAAGGGTGCAATTTTCACCCCCATATCTGCTCCAGTATCTCCGACCAGAAATCCTTCAACTCTGCACCATTGAGAGCTGATTTAAATCTTCCTGCCACGGAAGGACTTTCCAATGTTGGGAAACGGTGACTCAGTCAGCCTTTCTCAATTTAGTGACCTCTGATAGACTACACAGGTAGTCCTTGATTTACAACAGTTCATTTAGCGACTGTTACAGTTACAGTGGCACTGAAAAAGTGACCTATGGACATTTTCACAGTTACAATCTTTGAAGCATCCCCATGACCATGTGATCAAACTTCAGATGCTTGGCAACTGGCTCATGACTGGCACCGATCCCAAAATCATGTGATCGCCTTTTGCACCATTCTGATAAGTCAATGGGGAAGCTAGATTCACTTAACTAGATTCACTTAAGGTTATCAACTGAAGTGATTCACGTAACAACCGTGGCAAGAAAGGTCATAAAATGGGGCATTAATAACTTAACAAATGTCTCACTTAACAACAGAAATGTTGGGTTCAATTGGTTGTACTACCTGTAATTCTAATCTCCAGTTTTGAGTGTCTGAATGATGGGAGTAGCAGTCAAATACTTTGACAATGTTGACTAGGAGAAGTCTCCTGAAAAATTGTGTACAAGTAGTCCTCAGCTTACATCAGTTCATTTAGTGACTGTTCAAAGTTACGATAGCACTCAAAAAAATGGTCACATGACCATTACATCATTCCCATTGTCATGTGATAAAAATTTGGATGCTTGGCAATTGACTCATGGCGGTTGCAGTGTTCTGGGGTCAGTGTTCATGTGATCAGTTTTTGCGAACTTCTGACAAAGTCAATAGGGAAGCCGGATTCACTCAACAACCATGTTACTACCTTAACTACAATGATTCACTTAACAACTGTAGCAAGAAAAATTGTAAAATGGGGCAAAACTCACTTAACAGATGTTTCCCTTAGCAACATAAATTTTGGGATCAATTGTCGTAAATTGAAGACTACCTATACACATTTTCACTCTCACTGTTTCCAGTAGGCCCAACTTTTTAAAATTTCTAAAAATTTTCTAAGTGCATTGCTTCCCCACATAACATTTGAAATGTGGTTTTTCTCTTGTTTCCCTTTCTTCCTACATTCTACTTGTCTTAACTTCAAAGGTTTCTATTTTCCTGTGTTAAGAGTTTACCTTTCTGTTCAGACATGAACTTTCCCTCAGCAGTTCAAAGGGATTCTACTCACAAATGATTATTTTTTTATTTTTTCTAACAGATAACATTTGCATAGCATACACCCTTCTTTTTAAGTTGTACTGTATTCTTGGAGTTATCTGCATAGCTTTAAAGCTTTTTCATGAAATCTTTAGCACAATCCCTAAACAATAGAACTTGGAAGTTAAGTACCAGTGAATTCAATAGAGCATACTCCTTGATAAGTAAATTTATGTTTTTAGCCTTGTAGCACTTCCAACCATTACTGTTTTCACTTTCAAACACTCAGAAACATTTTGAACCTTTTTGTTCTCACCGGGCTGATGTTGAAACACAGAATAATCCATGAGCTGTTCCTGATAACCAGTAGAGAAGAAGAAAAAAAATCTAATCAGACTTTTGTCTCTCTATCTGTGTCTATGAATCACAAATTTAATTTTGTCATTTGTTACTTTTTAAGAGAGTTTAGCATTTGCTGTTAGAAAGAGCTGTTAAGGTACTTTTTCTCTGCTCAATTTAACAACAAGTGTAAAGTTATTTAAAGAGAGTTTGGAGGCAAGAGTTTCCATCAATGGAAAAAAGATCTGCTCCAACTACAACATTTCTACTCACAAATTTTATTCACAATGGTTTTTAAATCCCAACTGAGTAATTAGAAAGAAATTAGTTTGCTATCTAATGGATATGACAAATGGGAATTACAGGTATGATGCTTATTGGAGCAACCAGAAATACTGTGTGGAGTTGCCAATAATCTTTATCTCCTGCCATATCTTAAATCTAACCTTATATCTAAATTTTCTTTCAACTTCATATCTGAATATCTCAATCAGAGCAATAATCTGAGATTTCAAGAATTCTGACACATAATGTAGTATGGATTAATGTACTATTAAATGTGACAAGTTTTTTTCCAAATACAGTATTCATATTATGCCACAGTTTTTAAATATAAATATTTTTATTTATATTTTAATCCTTTAAATTCTCTGCAAAATGATGCCCAATGCAGAGATCCACTCAATTTATAATAGAAATCTAGTTAAATACTTCATGTCAGAGTAAGAATTCTGAACTCTGGCTCTCCTGCATTCTCTGAATAGAACAGGATAGTTAATCTTCTCTAACCAGATCAGAAAATTGATTTAAGGTAGCTGGAATAGGAAATGTTTTTTACTATCTAATCCATGTCTCTAAATATCTGACAAAGGGCAGTTGATAACCCTAACTCTACAGCATTCTAATAATGGCTGTAAATAATTTGGTCAAATTTTGCCTAAAACTTGGCAAGAAAGTTATCTGAATAGGATTTTTTTTTTTTTTTTGCAAGACCACAATAAGAATAGATAATTGACATAGTTTGGTGGACTGGAGAAAAGCTGACATCGCCATTTGGTGATTGCAAGAAATTTTATGACACTACAGATTCCTGCACCAGATTGGGAACAGGAATCTGCTGGCATATTAATATGTTAAACTCTGTAGCTTACATTAGGGCCGCCTATCACACAACTTGCTTCTGCCTTTAAATATTTTCCCTGTATAATTGCTGGCAGCCTTGAAAGTTTTTGGTGCTCATGTACCAGGATATATGCTTCCAAGGCAATCTTATCCCAATAAGCATCTAGTCAAGTTGTTTACCTCATGTACTTGCCTGTTTGCTTACATTACTTTGCTTTAAATACTTTCCAAGTTAATGAGTAAATAACTAATCACTGTGTATTGCAACAGATTTACAAGATGTTTGGCAAGATTTTAAGAAATACATTTAAATCCTTTTTAAAAATAGCTTGAATAATATAGTAAATTACATTTTATCCCAACCAAAATTTAATGTATATATAATATGAATAATTTACACATCCCTAAAGGTTATGAACTCAGAATTCCTGTCACCTGGAATTCTGAAGATCCAGGTTAACAGATTGGTCAGTGATATTGTTTTGTTTGTTTCTTAGTTTGTTTTACTGAGTTGTATGAATTTGGCCGATAGCAGTTTTTCCAAGAAACTAGGACACCAACATAACATATAATCCTAATCAATACTATTATACTTCAATTTGAAATTTCAATTTTGGATGAATGGATTATAATTATTGTATGTATTTAAGATAAAATGATCATGGGACTGTGTCCAATTTTTCAATCCTTCAATCCTTTACAGAGGAACGCACTTTGATTTGTCTACACAATATTCAAACTGGAAATAACAATAGCTTTAGTGCTATTGAACTTACTGGTATTGTAGATTGCAGTCAGAAAAAATACAACACTCTTTGGGTATTTACAGTAAGTAGAATAAGTCTCAAATGTTCTGTAAGGTTCATTTTTTGTGTAGAAAAAAAAATATTTCTCATGGGATGTTGATAGTTTTATTGCTTGTATCCCCTCAATAAATTTTACTTAAACCGCAGTGTTTGCTTAACAAGTGTAGTAATTCACTTAACAACCACCACAAAAAAGGTTTAAAATCGGATCAGTCATATGACCTGTTCTATAACAATCATGACTTATAGCCATCATGGGCAGCTCTCAGGATGGCTGCTTTCTTTACTAATATATATACATATACATATACATATACATATACATATACATATACATATAATATTCATTTTGCCTCAGAAATTTATAACCAGAAAGTCCATTTTTTCTCAGTCTCCCATTAATACTACTATCAGAAGTTATAAGAGTTCACATATATAACTTCAGAGTAATATAAATTAATCTAAAAAACAATCATGCATACAGACTCTATTGGCCTCCATTTGTTAACATATTTAGTAGAATATGATTTTGTTAATGCATGATTTTGTTATCATAGTAATTGATGAGACACGGTCAGGAATTTATCAACAGCAGACTGATATCTAAGTCACTGGCAATCTAGTGAGAACCAGAAGCAATTGCAGGACTCTGTTCCCTTTAATAGTTAGCCCAGCATTTCCACCGTAACCCTATCGGTCATGAACGCAATCTGCTTTCCTATCTTCTCCCCATCAGCCTTGTATTTTGATATCAGGAAGACCAATAGACCCTAATGAGCCACCATTAAGGTAAAGGTAAAGGTTCCCCCACACATGCATACTAGTCATTTCCAGCTCTAGGGGCGGTGCACATCTCCGTTTCTAAGCCGAAGAGCCAGTGCTGTCCAAAGATGTCTCTGTGGCCATGTGGCTGGCATGACTAAACCCCAAAGGCGCACGGAGTACTGTTACCTTCCAACCAAAATGGTCCCTATTTTTCTACTTGCATTTTTTACGTGCTTTCAAACTGCTAGGTTGGCAGAAGCTGGGACTAGTAACAGGAGCTCATTCTGTTACACGGTGCTAGGGATTCGAACCGCTGAACTGCCAACCACCTGATTGATAAGCTCAGTGTCTTATCACCATTACCCCAAGGCTAATCCCATTCAAGCCTCACATGCAATCTGGAGCAACTTGGCATAAGTCACTCTAGCTTCCTGATTTCCTCACACCAAAACTTTACATCATCTCTATTGATTTGCATCAACTTCCTTATCGCCTCTACCTCACTCATATTTCCCTCTTACAAGAGTTAGATCAAGAAGAGTCACTACAGAGGAGGCCTCTCAACTGCCCTCTCTTATTGCCAGTTATCCATTAAAGCTTCTGATCAGCATAGTACAAACTGGTCAACATGCCAGGTGATCTCATGAACATATCCAAGGCCTGAATCTGAAAGTGGTTATCTCGCTTCCCTAGGAGGATATTTAGCAATCACAGTGCAGCACACAATTCACGACTGCAATGCCAGGACCCCAGCCCAACAACCCAGATTCTGGTCCTGTGCGCTTGGCCCAAATCTGGGCAGTTCCTCCAAGTATACCTCCCAGGTCCAGCAGTCTTTACCCGCCTATATCCTCAGTAAATGTACCCTTTAGATCTCTGATTGATGATCTCACCCTTCTCATGTAGTGCATTCCTCATTTCTGATGTAATCTTCTCCACTGTATTCAGTCCTCTCTTTTGGAGGTCTTTGCTTTCCTCCACTTTATCTGCAGTCACTTTCTAGCTTTCCACAAGGTTCAACTTCATCCAATCTATTCCTCCGTCCTTCTCTTCCTCTTTTTCCCCAACTTCTTTTCACATTTCCTCCATCTCCCTAGACTTCTGTTTTTTCCACCAGCAATTCTTTCTCCAGTGAATGCTACTCCAGTCCAGTGGTGGAGTTTTTGGCCTCTCTACTGGCGAACTTGCATCAGTGATACAGTGTTCGAAAGATCATTCTGGATTCCTGGTAGTGACATACTTGCAAGATCTCGCAGCTGTCAGGACAAATATCAAATCCAAATACTCTTCAATTGGTATAAATTACTCATAGAAATGGATCACTTTCATTTACAGTGTTTGTGATAAGGAAAAGCACATTCTTTTTTATTGATCTTTTATACAAGCTGCCATCTATGATTGGCTATGCTTTGGCAAACAAATTCTCTAAAAAACATAGATAACATCATATTTAGTTCACCCTCAACCCTTGAAGAATCTTTTCCTGCTTTGGTTTTAAGATGATGTTTTCCAGCTTCTTCCAGCATAAACTGTGCCATTTGGTTCATCTAAGATGAAGTGCATCTTAGCACCAACTCCTATTAGCCATCTGAGACTTCTGCCGACACACCCTCCCCTCTAGTTTTTAGCTACTGATTGATAGCAGCACAGTACCCACTGTGCCCACAGGGTCTCTATTTTACTTCTGCCAGTACCAATGGGAAGAGAAGAATGGGAGATAGATCTTTGGGAGGTCAGTTCTGCCAGCACTAGGAAGATTCAGTTCCCCTTATGAAAGGGAAAACAGGGACAATAGAGTATTCTGATGTCAGTGAATTCTTGGAAGCAGATCTGCAACTGACAGACCTGCAAGGAAGTGGCTCTAGTATTGCTGTGGGGATACTGGTTTTGTAGCTGACAGTCACACAGTGAAATTGCAGGTTCCTTTACTGCAATGCTGTGGGTTGCAAAGTTCCATATCTCTGCCCCTGTGGGTAAGAAAACAGAGGCTTCATCTACCCACTGCAGAGGGGAAGTGGGTCTTATGTGTTGAGAGAACTGGCACACACACACACACAAAAAAAAAAACCTGAGATCCCTGCTTCCCTCCCCCGAATTTTGCCACATTGGCTAGTAAAAGGAGTGAGGGCTCTGTTGTTGCACTTCTCTGATCCCATGGAGTGACCACTCCGTAATGGGCTACAAAGGCGGCATTCGTCCCCCTGTGTCTTACTCTCCCCCTTCTTCTGCAAACAAAACCCTTGTTCTGCTAAGACACAATAGGGATGGAAGCACAGCTGGAACTCTTTGAAGATGGCATACTTTTCCGCTGGCTCCACCATTGGATAATACTGAATAATCACTGCTGCTGGGTAGAATAGCCCAGGCTGGTACAGCTATTGCTATGAAGGCAGGACATAAGCTGCAGAGCTAAAGCAGCATGTCTCCTGATGACTCATGCCTGCGTTCTCTATGGATTGCAGTGTTTGAATGAACGTGCCAAATTGGTGATATTCTGAGACTACCTGAGGCAGTCAAACGGGATCGTCAAATCCAGGGGAGTGCCATTTACTTGCTTTTCTTGGCATTAAATGGGGGGTGGCTGCCAATGGCAATATCAATCAATCAATCAGAATCAATCAATCAGAATAGAGCTGCAAGGGACCTTGGAGGTCTTCTAATCCAGCCCCCTGCTCAAGAAGGAGATCCTATACCATTTCAGACTGGTCTCTTCTTAAAAACCTCCAGTGATGAAGCACCCACAACTTCTGAAGGCAAGCTGTTCCACTGGTTAATTATCTTCACTGTTAGGAAGTTTCTCCTTAATTCCAGGTTGCTTCTCTCCTTGATTCATTTCCAACCATTGTTTCTTGTCCTGCCCTCTGGTGCTTTGGAAAATAAAATATCAAATTTTATTTTCCAAAACTGCCACTCTCCTGAAGGCTGATAAACCAAGGAAGCAAGCCAGGTATCTATGAAGACAGTACCACTCACCCTTAGCTGTTTCAGAGCAAAAGGCATAGAGTCGCACTGACAGCTGACAGTTAGAGTTGGAATTTATCTCCAACAGTGTCTCCTCTAATAAAATCACATTTGAACAATTCTTATAATGTACTGTATATGAAGGGGAAAGGATGGGGAACACCTACTTCGTTGGCTGACATCTCCCACCCACAGGTTTGCATTGCTATGGCAACATTCCAACCCACTCATATGACGTCAGTCTCACCTTGGACAAGACAGAATGTTAAAGGGGCAGGCCATAGTTATTCAGGATTGCAGCATACCATACTGGAGAAGTCAGGAATGCTCCTCATCTGAAATCTCCATCACAAATTATATAGAGAGCAAGAACAAAAGAAGCAATAAAGCATACTGGGACTGCTGTGTGATTCAGTCCAGAAGAAATGAGTATCACCTATCATCTTAAGTCCTGACAGAAACGTATGATCCCAATTTTTTACTGCAGATAATGAAAATATATCCACCCACGAAGTGCTCCTATTTCTATAGAAGGAAATTGTAATGAGCAAGTTGATAGATACAGCTTACCTTGTTACATATCATGTAGGCCTTATAAATATCCTGCTTTGCAGTTATTTAAGATCTTGACCTCTGTTTTCTGGCTTTAAAAAAGTAAGAGGTAAATTCATACACAGCATCGATGTGTTGTGAAGGGAAATGGAAATGGAAAGCAGAGTTAGGTTAAAGAATAATCATATAAGTATCATAAAAACAAATAACAGAATACTGATGTATAAACATCATTGACAGTGTGGCTGAGGACAAACTGTTAGGGCAGCATATGTGCATGGGTGATTACGTAAAAATTCACCGTTTTTCAGTACTGCTAGCTAAGGCCAAATCCACTATTAAGCCAGTGAAGAAATTGCCTTCAAAGAAGAGAAATAATAACCATGTTTGTCACCAGGAAGTATCTAGTTAAACCAGAAGCTAAACTCAGTAGTGATGTCTCCCAGTATTGTAAGTCCACGCACTCATACAGAAATGACATGTTCTCCAATCTGTTCCCTTTTCATACTGTTCTTTCCAGGCTGTTCCTTTCCTTCAGTCTGGAAAGGACTGAAGTGCAGACTACTGTACTGTCTTTTCTCTAATATTCCATAAAGATTGGACCAAACAGTCTACCAATATTAAATTCTGAAAACCAAATTACCTAATTGTACATTTTTATCTTGCTTCTCCTTACAGAGGCAAAATAAATGGACTTCCTTCCAATAGCTAAACTAGGGTGCCTGTGTGAAAAATGCCAGGCACAGGTAGATTTTCAGTGGTTCGCCCACTGAGTGTCATTTTATCTACAATTCAGCAGTTTTTCTCACCCTGACATCTGATTGAAAAAACTGAAACAAAACCAGGAAATCCATTACATCCACATGGCCTTATGGAATAATAAAGCATACGTGAAGCTGTTTTCTTCTGTAATTCGACAAGTTTCTGATCTGCAACCACCCATTATCCTGTTTAAACTGTGAAAACTGTTCTCAGTGTATAATTGCAAATAGATTGAATCTGATATGACAAAAGTGAAGAGCCACAGATATACCCATAGAGCTATATTTTCCTCTATGTTCCTCCCCCTGTCTTTTTGGTGATCTATTTTTAATGGTTAAAGTTCCTTATGCTATCCAATCGTTTGGATTCCAGTCTAATTGCTCAAGTTGCTGGGACCCAAGTGACATAAATTTAAATAGAGTCCAGAGCACCATACGTGGGTGATTTTCTTAGATTTAATTTCATAGCAGCAACTCTGTTGAGTTAAGAAAGAATAATATGTCATCCAAGGAGCTCTGTAGCTGGGTCTACCCAATTTATGTCTAATATTTTGACTTCACCTCTCCATAGTTTTTCTATTTTGGCAAATCACATTTCTTCTACCACATTCATATATTGGTTCATATTTTGATTTGATTTTATCATGCCTTGACCCAAGCTGAATGGGGTACCATTATCTGTTTTTGTTTCCTTCAGTAGGAATTTCATTGAATCGGTTTTAATAGTGTTGCTGTATGGTTTGCCTCCCAAAGTCCACTGGAAATCAATCAGTCCCCTAAAGAAAGTACATACAGTACATAAATTGCCTTTTGTTCATCAAATTTCTCAACTGTCTGTTTCTTCATCCCACAAATTCTGCCTCATTACAAGTTTTTAGTCTTCCCCTTCCTCTCAACCTTTTAAAAAACTCTTTCTTCATACTGTATATATTGGTTTTGCAATTTATTTCTCATTCATTCTCCATGACAAACCATCGCAATATATTTCCTTTTGCATTGAATTCTCATTTTTGTACTCAATTTTCATTCTTTTAGCACCCATTCCTTGTCTATCAATATTTGTACATCTTAAAATTTCTTCATCTATTTTCTCATCTTTATAAACATTCTAGTAAAATACACAAGTTCACCCTGCTCTAGATTTTTGCCACTGGTGTATGATACACTTTCTTCTTGATCACCAACATCTACAGCATTTTTACAGTTTCATTATCATTCTCATGCCTTAACTTTTTTTATTCAATATTTGTTATATTTTGATAATTTTCTGATGTAGGTCAATATCATCCTCCTTTAGTTTTCTCTTGAGTCATTTTAAAAAGTCAAGAGGATATTATTTAAATCAAATTTTAAATTTCAATCCTTAGTTAAATTCTTTTTAAGAACTAAAAATAGCCTTTTACAGTTTTTATAATGCATAAAGTAATGCATTATAATGAAGAAAGTTGATGTTTGGGAAAGAGAAGAAGAAAATGACCAGCAGCAAGGTGGATAAACTCAATTACAGTGGCAATGGGGGCACTATTGGAAGAGCAGAAGATCAGACTAGGGACAGATCATCTAGGTGAAAATCTGTCTATGTGGTCATTAAGAGTTGACAATGACTTGATGGCACGCAATCAATCCTCAATGTCTGGAGGAGGGATGCTGCAATCTGCAAGAGGCATGGGATTATAGCTGACATCACTCCCATAAACAGGGAGGGCTTTTTTCACAATGCCACACCCATCGTATTTCAGATTTGACATCCTCATGGATGTCTATAATAAGGAGAAGGCAGCTTCAGGGAATAAAGTTGAACCAGCAGGTACAAAGAAAATGTTTATTGTAAAGGTTCAAATTAAAAGCAATCACACTTGAAAGTAATTCAATTGATTCTTGTCTGTCACAAAGGACCATAGTTGTTTATTGTTACTTTCTCCCAGACTGATATCAGATTACTTTGAAAGGATTGTTTTAAAAAAATCCTTTAAAATATCTTTAAAGAGAGGAATACAGACTTACAATTAAATGAATAAATAAATAAATAATGTAAGACAAAGGTAAAGATGAAGAAAATAAGATTCCTTTGTAAGGAAAGGTTAGTCCTTAATCACCACTCGGTGATTTTTGAGAGTTTGCTTTGAGCATAATATCAGCCCTTGGCTCAGACCACATCCTGAATACGCTGTTTTGTTATGTTTGAAGCACCATGCTGTTTACACATAGAATCCTTTTCTCTGTATGCAGCTCAGGTCAGCACTGAATCCTGCAACTTCCCATTGTGGTTCAGGTCATGTAGCACTGAACGAGCCCAGTTGCATGAATAATATACTTTTTATTTAGCTATATGGCTAAATAAGCTAGATATAGCTAGATTTCCTGTCTGTTTCATCTTATATTTCTTTGGTCTACCATTTCTACACCCTTTCTGTGCTTTGCTTTAATGCTACTTACTCAAAAGAGAACAGAGTGATGGATAAGTATATATGCTTTTGTTCTTTACTCAATGATTGGATGAAAACAAATGCTTTCCACACCTATGTATCTGCATATTCCACTGCTTCCTGCGTGTGTATTCTTCCTGAAGCTTTAATTATTTATCATCAGAGAGAAGTTGACAGTTACAAATAGTCACGACTCCAGCAGATTAACTCTCCAAGCACATCTCATTTTCATACCAAGCAAGCTCAAATATGCTTCATAGAATCCAAATCCTCATAGCCTAAAGGCAGGATAGCTTATTAAAAATAAAACAGAGCCTACCTAAATGGTTGTCTATGATTTAACTGCTTGCCTTTGATTGTATCTAAATTAATTTAAATTCTGCTCATTTTAATTGGTAGATATGGAGTATTTGTAATTCATAAGCATTTTGAAAAGTAAACTCAAGTGTGATGTTTTTGTGAAAGCCTGTATTGGTTCAAGGGAAGATTGCCTTGCTCTTCTTTTAGTAAAAAAGCAATGAATAAGGAATAGGAAGGAGAATCCAAGAATGAGTCGTTAGGCATAAACTCCAGAGCTCAAACATAACAATAACAAAAAAAGGCAAACAGTGTTTAAAATCAGGTATTTTTCGTATGTATGTATGTATGTATGTATGTATGTATGTATGTATGTATAAGAACGTCAAGTACTATTGCTTCCTTTTTATTGGCTTTTCTGATCATGCTAGATAAGACAAAAAATTCATCTAATTTGGTAACAGTTTTCCTAAAAAGGTTCAATCAAATTCTTCAACCAGCTAGAATAACTTCAACCAGCGTATGACGATGCCAACAGTTCCCAAATGGCATTCAATGGAAAATTGCTTTTGATGTCGAAGTCCCAAATAGGACTAGTAGTCATTGTAAGATTTATCGATCCTGAACTTAAAATTCCAAACTGAATTGAGGACCTTGGCAAAAATTCATCATATAAATATCTGATGCAAATATAATAGATTATCTTGCATCCTTAACCTTTTAATAAATTACTATTGCCAATAATGAAACAAAGATCCATGGTTTGGGAGAATTCCAGAAAAGTTTCTGAAAAAATATGGAAGTAGTGATCCCCAGTGACCTGAAAAACCAAAACATTTGCCTTATACATTTGTGATTGTGTATGCTAATGGATTGAATTAATTCAATGCATTCTGTGCTGACTTCAGATGTGATTAATGTCTATGGTCAAAATTTAAGTGAGCATGTGCAGATTTAACCCCCGCTCTACAATTATTTTAAACTGTAAATTTGAGGCGGTACATCACATATGTTTATTAGATGGTCATCTACTGCCATAGACAACATCATAAAATATGGTTATGCAATTATATAAATTCTGTCTCTGGAGTAACATCATGATATTTGTGACATCACTTTCCACTTCTCTTCTTTTGGAATATTGATGT